TCTTTGCTATATCTTGTAACCTTGCTGTAGTGAACCTCACCTTCCTGTTTCTCTCGCTCACGCTACCCCAAACCCTAAGGCTACTATTCTAACACTTGCTCAGTTACTTTAATAAGGAAAAGAAGAACAAATAAGAAGTCCGCAAGTACTAAAACCATGCCCCCGCACCCACTCAAGCACACACAAGCATCAAATGCAGTGCAGTGCACCCCCGCGCACTTGCACTACACTTCACAGCGGCAGCTCCTTCTGTGCAGGGCGGACTGGACAACCTACCTGATGACAGTGAATAGGCAGCACGCTCTAGCTGCCCCTTGTTCAGTACAAAGGATGAAAGGAGTTGAGGGTGTTTCGCCATGCTCCGTGGGGGCCAGAATAGTGCTTCTTCCCTGTGACGCCCGCAGTGAAAGCACCTTCCAGGTGCAATGCACTCAGCCATCGTGCTCCTCGTGGTCGTTGTCATCACGATGGTCATCATGATTGTCATCACGATTGTCATCACGATTGTCATCACGATTGTCATCACGATTGTCATCACGATTGTCATCACGATTGACATCACGATTGACATCATGATTGTCATCATGATTGTCATCACGATTGTCATCATGATTGTCATCAGGATGGTCATCACGATGGTCATCACGATTGTCATCACGATTGTCATCACGATTGTCATCATGATTGTCATCATCATAGCCGTCATTGACATGGGTTTCGTCACCATTGCCGACGTTTTGTCTCATCCACGTAATTGCTGCTGGAGCCATACGCATTCGAGACACCATATGCAGCCTGCATCTGATTCTGCCTGACACTCTCATCGTACCGATACTCCGTCACCACGCGCCCGTTCAGAGGCTGCACTGCGCGGTTGTTGGTGCGGTCGCCATGGTTGATATCTGCGAGGAAGCTTTGGTACCTCAGCAGCTGCAGACGCACGCAGAGAGGCGGGAGAAAGATAGGCAAAGGAGAAAAAAGAGCGGCAGATTGAGGATGGGAGGCGGAGAGAAAGCGAGAGCGAGAGAGAGAGAGAGAGAGAGAGAGAGAGAGAGAGAGAGAGAGAGAGAGAGAGAGAGAGAGAGAGAGAGAGAGAGAGAGAGAGAGAGAGAGAGAGAGCACGATGTTAAGATTGCGGGTGAGAGTGAGCGCGAGAGTGAGGGAGTGGCACCTGGGCAGCAGAGAGCGACGAGGGGGAGCGGGAGATGTGCCAGTGAACAGACTCGTTGCAGGGCGGGTGGATCTGCGACCCGGTGTAGTACCAGAAGCCCTTGGAGAGATCCATCACCTCCTGAAAGTCTGTCTCGTTTTCTATCGTCACATTTCCTGGCTGCGCCGGTATGTTATCCAGAACCCTGTGTGCTCAAGAATACGTATTGTCGAGGGGTGAGGCGGACGAGGCGAGGGGTGAGCGAGGAAATCAAGAAGGGAGAAACGAGGAGGCATGATTTTGCTCTTCCAATGAAACGCAGAGGACGAGAGGCAGGGTAAGTGAAAGCAGAAGTGACGGTTGCGTACGTACGCGTTGATCCCCGCGTTGTCGTGGTCGTCCATAGCAAGGCGGAACATGGTGACCACGGTGGCCTTGCGGGTGGAGTCCTCATTGTGCTAGTACGCGTACTTCACCTCCAGCGGAGCATACATGCCGTTCACGGGGTGGTTGGCGGGTGTGTGCAGCGACAGGTGGTGCAGGTAGTATGTGCCGTCCGCTAGCAGGAGAAGTGAATCGTTGTTGGTGGGGTTGATCACTGGCCGCAGGGGGATGACGGGGGGGTTGGGAAGGGGTGGGTGGGGAGCGAGTGGGATGAAACAGCGTGGCAGAAGGAGACGGATTTCAGAGTTTTGAAGCTGAAGTGGCAAGGGGGACCTGGGGAATAACCACACGGCCAGATTCATTCGACATTCTTTGGTTTGCAAATGGTGCTAAATGCAGCAGAGATCCGCAACAGACTGAGGAATGGAGAATGGAGAATGAAGAATGAAGAGTGGAACGAGGGATGGAACAGAACAGGCGTAGCAGACGAGTCGTCTTACTCATTGAGTAAGGAACGGAAAGGTTGGTGTTCTTTATAAGCATGCTGCTGCTCATCACGTGGGCCAGCTTCATGTACCGGTTGCCTCCATGCTTGACGGAATTCATCACGATGTTGATAGGGCTCTGGTTGACTCCTGACGTGCACGCGCCCTGTGGGTCAGTTCGCAGTGGAGATAGGAGAAAAGAGAAGAGGTAGGCGATGGGATGGGAGGCACCTCAGCCAAGCAGCCTGCTGTTAAAGAGTCGTTCTGGAATACACGGGGGATGTCACGATATACATGGGTTCATTCAAAGTAGCATGATGGAGTGGCAAGAAAATAGTAGGGGCACGAAACGTGTTGAAAAGCGCATTTTAACGGGCACGAGACAGCAACATGATAAGATGGCGAGACAGCAGGGAATCCAAGCGGCGGGGAGTTGGGCGTGGTGAGGCTCACGGGCCAGTCGGAGCCCCCATGGTCGTAGTTATAAACAGGGGCGTTTTGCCCCGTGCAGTGCGTGACGAGCAGCAGCAAGAGGAGCGCAGCAGCGAGCACAGCACGAGCCATCTTGATGCCGACACTGAAAGAACCTCGGGTAAGGGAATGCTGAAAGCTTGACGTGAACGAACGCAGACGAGTCAGTGAGGATGACGGGAACAGCGAAGTCTGAGAATGAGTGGTTGATGGAATGTGGAGTGGAGTGCAAGATTTATGCAATGCGAAAGCAGAAAGCCTTGCGCAGGAGGATGCATAGGAGCTGCAATGGGGGGGCGTAAGCTTGGGCAACCGTCGCCCTACATTTACTAGACCCACATTCGAAAATCCACGCTGGAATGTGGTCCCTCCGGAACAACATTCTTACTTCATGTCTCCATTTCTTCCCCGTTTTTGCCCGTTTCCTACCATGGCTAAACGCAGGTCGTACTTTGACCGCGGCGCGCACCAGCTGCTGGGACCGTAGCGCCACACCATTTGACTGGTGGCGGGTGCGAAAAACATATTACTTGGGACTGAAGATTGCGGCCATTATTACAGTCATGTCATCACCCGTTCAATTTCCAAAGACACAGTACACCCTCGTTCTCGCTAGACTCACCTCGGTCAGGGGAACTTGCAGGAAGAAACAGCATGGTGGAGAGCGGTTAAAGATGGTGCAATATGGTTCATTGAGACATTTCGAGTAAGACAAAATTCGCCTGCCAAACACCCGCTGGTGAGATGGGTGCGAACGAGGGTGTATTTCCGGAAAACCTGCAATTTGCCCTGATGTGTTTCAAGACGAACAGCAGTACATAGTTGCCGAGATTAGGGTGCTGTTCGCCAGCAAATCGTTTTTTAAATTGAAAACTATGGCATCAGCATCGCGACCGCATATGGAAACGGGGGCGGAACCCTCCTCCGAGGTTTGGGCGAAATGCCGCCCGAGAAACTACGCGCGCCCAAAAGGCGAAATTTCGCAACCGCATCGGGAAGGTCCATCCCCACCTTCCCCCCAATGGCGCGAAATTTGCTCATCACCGACCCTTGTGCTGCCCGCTGACCAAAATTTCGAGAACGTGGGTAAAAAGCGCAAATAAAACGATTGTGCTAAGGAGGAGTGGGTGTTGCAATCGATTTCGACCAAGTTATGTGCGGGGGGAATCTCAAAGGTGTGTTTGAGATGGAAAAATGGGGGGTATGCGAACCCCCCCAATGCGTCTGCTGTGCCACCGCTGTGCCACCGCTGTGCTTCGAAAAACGCAGCATGACGATAACATTGCAAGGCGATGATATTTTGCCCCCGCTTCCATATGCCGTCGAAATGTTAAAATTGGTGGACAAAAGTGGGCATTCGCCAGACGCCCAGTTTGTTTGTTGGTTTGGACGGAACACAAGGCTCGGCACTATTTTCACGGGCTGACCAGGCTGCGGAGGGAAACGAACTCTAACTGGCTGGATCAGGAAGGCGAGACCCACCTTCCTGATCCCGTCGTTATCCCGTCGTTTTTTGCTATAATGGTGCTGGCGAACAGCCCCTAGATGATGCGAACCTTGTCTCGAAATTTCACAAGGAAGCGCAACAGGCCATTCTTCCCAATGTGGCCTGTCTTGGTCATTGGCGGCTTGCCGTACCTCTCCAGCCTCAGGATGCATTCTTACCGCGTGCAAATCGTCGGCTCGGAGGCGGGGTGGAGGCTTGGAAGATTCAAAGTGACTTGGATAATCTATTGTTTACCGAGCCGATTTGAATCTTCAGAACCTTCATTTCAAGTCTCACATGATGCATGACGCGCGATAAGAACGCTCCCTCAGGTTGGCAATGGAACAAGGAGAGGATTTGGTTGGAGGCATACCCGCTAGTATGAGCGAATGGAGGGGGTGTGCTACATTTCTGACAAAAGTGCATGTTTTGATAAAAATAATGTTATCGTAGAGTTTGAAACCGTAGCCGCACTGTGAAAATGCAAGGGTTTGAATTGCGTGTTACAAATCTCGTCAGTCACAATAATACGTAGGGTTCATTCATATTGATACCGGTATTCATTCAAGTTCGGATCACAGATTGGTCACAAATATCGAGGAAGACGGGAACGCAATGTAAAAGACAGTCATATTGGTTAAATATCCAGCTCCATTGACATGTACCACATAATTCATTTCTACCGATGCCCGTTTCGTTATCCTAACAGCAGCAGCAGCAGCATGCAAGTCAAACTTGATGCAGACCGTAAGCTCCTCCCCACTTCTGCTTGCTCCTCAACCTGATCCCCCACAACCGGTGAAAGTTATGCAAGAGTGGGCAGGACAGTGGGGCGGGATGAAATAGCAAGCCAGGGTAACACATTAGGGAAGTTACGAGAGGGGACGATGGGAGATGGTGGTAGGCTTAGCATGCTGTTTGTGTGTGCAAGAGAGTGAGAAAAAGAGAGGGAGAGAAATCGAGAAAATCACCCGACAAAGATAGCAAGTACGAGGAAGAAAAATCACAGTCGCAAATAGGGCATCTAGGCTAGGGTAGAGGGGTACTTGCGACGGCGAGAAGGATGAGAGCGCAGCATGGACCGTCGGGCCGTGGCGCACCCACAAAAGCACACCAGCAGCATCATCACGAGCCCACCCATCATCATCCCCCCTCCCCCTCTCCGATCCACCATCTCCGCCTTCCCTCCACCCCTACCCCCTCCTTCCCCGTCCCCTGCTGCGTCACTCCCCCCGCTTCCTTCCGGCTCATTGTAGAAGTTATACAGAAACGAGTGCACGTATTCGAGGTCCCATGAGGCGTCAGGGTCAACAGCACCCGTTTCAGAGTCTGCTGTTGCCATTGCGTCGTCAGCAGCGCAGAACGGGCAGAGGGAGAGAGTAGGCCACTGGCGCTTGGGATGGTCCGGGTCCCCTCTCTTGCCTCCTGACTCTGCCTCCTCCCTCTCCAGCCGCTGGTTGACCTGCGAGTGGGTGAGTGGGTAGCGGGAAAGGAACGAGAGGGAGCGGGCAGAGGGGGAGAGTGGGCCACTGGCGCTTGGGGTGGTCCGGGTTTTCCCCCCTTGCCACCTGACTCGACTTCTCCCCTTCCAGCTACTGGTTGACCTGCGAGTGGGTGGCGTGACAAGGGAAGAGAGGACTTTTGAGGCGCCTCAAAACTCCGCCCCCTCCCTCTTCAGTTGCTGGTTTTGGGTGGGTGGGGTCGGGATGAGAGGGAGAAGGAGAGGGAGAGGGGAAGGGAGAGGGGAAGGGAGAGGGGAAGGGAGAGGGGGAGGGAGAGGGGGAGGGAGAGGAGGGAGGGAGAGGAGGGAGAGGGAGAGGGAGAGGGAGAGAGAGAGTGGGAGAGGGAGAGGGAGAGGGAGAGGGAGAGAGTGGGAGAGGGAGAGGGAGAGGGAGAGGGAGAAGGAGAGGGAGAGGGAATAGAGATGCTGGCGGCAAAACACAAAAGGAGAGGACACAAAACGATAAGATTATCTTGCAGTCAATCTTGCTCTGTGTTTGCCAGGTTCTATGAATCCATAGAGCACAAAACAAGGCTCGAACTAATGAATAAAAATAATAACTGTATAAATAATAATAATAAAAAAAAAGGGCACGGGTGAGGTGAGCAGGTTTGGCGAGAAATGTTAATGAAGATCAGACATGTATGTATGAAGAAATCTAATATAGCATGGCACCATGGTATGGGAGAAGATGGGTGACAGGTATGGTATGACTGATACGCCCTCATCATGAGTACGATGAAGCACCGACTCACACCCAAGACTTGTGTATCCAGCCCAGCATACGATGTTCTATCCACCAGCATACCAGGTTGTGTGCGCGCCACACCCACAAAGCAGCTTCCTTGCCTGTCTTCACTTTGTCTATGTGCAACCTGGGTAGGATATGGTGGGGCGGACAGGGAGGAGCGGGGTGGGGTGAAGCGGGTGGGAAAAGTGAAGAGTTTCGAGACGTTTAAAAACGCCACACCCACAGAGCAGCATCCTTGCCTGTCTTCACTTTGTCTATGTGCAACCTGGCGGGGAGCAAAGTTGGCAGGAGGAGCGGGTGTGGGATGGGGTGGGGTGGGTGGGGTGGGGTGGGGGACGCGAGGGGGGAGTAAGGTGTAGGAGAGTTAAGAGGGAGGTGAAGAAGGTGTTGAGGGGGCTGGCTGGCACACAGGGTACTCAAAACTTTTGCACCCCTTTTTCTCATCCCAATTGTTTTTTTTTTTGTTATTTTGACGAATCCACGCTTTTGGCCCCGCACTCACTGCTGAGCCACGTGCAAGAAACGGTCGCGGCACTTGCCTCTGACTCATTCCTTTCTCTGTAACAGCGGACCACTCACTGCTCGCCCCCACTCACTGCTCGCCCCCACTCACTGCTCGCCCCCACTCACTGCTCGCCCCCCACTCACTGCTCGCCCCCACTCACTGCTCGCCCCCCACTCACTGCTCGCCCCCCACTCACTGCTCGCCCCCCACTCACTGCTCGCCCCCCACTCACTGCTCGCCCCCCACTCACTGCTCGCCCCCCACTCACTGCTCGCCCCCCACTCACTGCTCGCCCCCCACTCACTGCTCGCCCCCCACTCACTGCTCGCCCCCCACTCACTGCTCGCCCCCCACTCACTGCTCGCCCCCCACTCACTGCTCGCCCCCCACTCACTGCTCGCCCCCCACTCACTGCTCGCCCCCCACTCACTGCTCGCCCCCCACTCACTGCTCGCCCCCCACTCACTGCTCGCCCCCCACTCACTGCTCGCCCCCCACTCACTGCTCGCCCCCCACTCACTGCTCGCCCCCCACTCACTGCTCGCCCCCCACTCACTGCTCGCCCCCCACTCACTGCTCGCCCCCCACTCACTGCTCGCCCCCCACTCACTGCTCGCCCCCCACTCACTGCTCGCCCCCCACTCACTGCTCGCCCCCCACTCACTGCTCGCCCCCCACTCACTGCTCGCCCCCCACTCACTGCTCGCCCCCCACTCACTGCTCGCCCCCCACTCCCCCCACACACTGCTCGCCCCCCTTCACTGCTCGTCTCCGCACAGCACTCACTGCTCAGCCATCTGAAGAAAGTGGTCCCAGCACTTGCTTCTGCTCTGATTCCCATCCCCATAACAGCGCACCCACTCACTTCTTGCCTTGCCCCCCACTTTCTCTTCATTCCCTTCTCGCCCGCACTCACTGCTGGGTCATCTGCAGGAAGTGGCCGCGGCACTTGCTTCCGTTCTCATTCCCATCCCCGTAACACAGTGCACCCCCACTCACTTCAACCCTCAATGCTTGCCCACACTCACTGGTGGGCCATGTGCAGGAAGTGGTCGCGGCACTTGCTGCAGCCGAAGAAGACCGTGACAAAGTCCCTCATGGCGTTCACACACCACCCGCCCTGCTCAGGGCCCACACGCACTGACAGCGAGTGGAACAGCAGCCACAGCCCACAGCTGTGACACGCACACCACACACAGAGACATGCACACGGGTTGGTTCGGGGAGGGGGGGTGGGATGGGAAGCGGGGTGGTGAGGGGGAAAGGGAGGCAAAGGACAGGGGGAAGGTTGAAGCAGGCGTTTGGAGGGGAATGGGAAAGGGTGGATTGGGAGAACATGGGAGGGCGAGGCGTGGGGGGGTCGGGGTTGGGGTGGGTAGAAAGGGATATGGCGTGGTTAAAGAAGGAGATGTGGGAAGGTGAGGACGAGAATAAATGTGGTCTGAATTGCTTGCAAAGGAAGGCAGTGGCTACACAGACGCGACGTGATAAAAGGAGAGACAGAGAGCAGTTACAGTGTGTGGCGTGCAGTTGTGTGAATGTGTGGGTGTGCGCGTTGAAGGAAATGGAGCAGGAAGGAAAAGGAGCAGGAAGGAGAAGGAGGGAAGAAGAGGTAAGAACAGTAAGGGAGTGGCTGACAGGCATGTGAGCGTGGGGAAACGTACCTGTAGCCCCTGCGGTCCTTGATCTTGCTGCTGCATTGGTCCTGGCAGTGATGATACGATGATTAGATGTTCACATGAAAGCATCACCCGTGCAGGTAGTTCAAGGAAGGATGAGAGAGGGAGGAAGGGGTGGGCGGGGGGAAGGGGGGAAGGGGGGAAGGGTTGAAGGGAAGGGAAGGGGAGAAAGGAAGGGAAGAAGGAAAGATATGAGAGAGGTACCCTGGAAAGCGCATATCCACACAGGACCCATCATCCAATGCCATGCCTTCCCCATCTCACCCCCCTCGCCTCCTCAACTCTTTGGATGCCCATGAACCTACGCTGCCCCATGCACCACCTACCCAGGAGCCAGACGGCGGGTCAGCGCCGCATATCTTAGCCCCAGAAAGAGCGCTTTTTGAGATTTCTTAAAAAAAGAGCGCCATTCTGTGATTCCTCTCCCATGTTCCCACCCCCATCCATCACCTACCCAGGAGCCAGAGGGCAGGTCAGCGCCGCAGATCTTAGCCCCTGCCAGAGCAGTCTTGTTGATCCTATCTTGTTGAACCCCTCTCCCCCACCACATCACCCACCCCCACCACATCACCACCCCCACCAAATCACCACCTCCATCCCCCCACCTCCATGCATCACCTACCCAGGTGCCAGACGGCAGGTCAGCACCGCAGATCTTAGCCCCTGCCAGAGCAGTCTTGTTGATCCGCAATCCCCCCAGCTCCTTTCGCGACCCATGCCCCTCCTCCTCCTCGCCTACTGCCGATAACGGCCAGGCTAGAGGCAGCAGGCGCAGCAGCACAGACGCCCCGTTGCGGCACCTGGGGAGGAGGGAAGGGGAGGGGGGAGATTTTTGACTCATGCCCCGTCCCCTCCTCCTCGCCTTTTGCCGATAGCGGCCATGCCAGGGGCAGCAGGTGCAGCAGCACAGACGCCCCGTTGCGACACCTGGGGAGGGGGGAAGGGGAGGGGGGAAGGGGAGGGGGGAGACTTTTGACCCATGCCCCTTGCCTTACTCCTCCTCCTCCCCTATTGCTGACAGCGACCAGGCTAGAGGCAGCAGGCGCAGCAGCACAGACGCCCCATTGCGACACCTGGGAAGGGGGAAGGGGAGGGAGGAAGGGGAGGGGGGAGACTTTTGACTCATGCCTCGTCCCCTCCTCCTCGCCTATTGCTGACAGCGGCCAGGCTAGAGGCAGCAGGCGCAGCAGCACACAAAGCAGCTGAGGGCACATGGTTACTTTTCTCTTGCCAGCCATCAGCAGAAATGCACAGTGTAGGTGCCTTTACTGGCAAGCCAGCACGAAACGCAAGGACAAACACACAGCCAGAAGTTGAAGGGGAAAGCCCTCTTGATGCGCATCGGCAAGAGAGGGGGCGGGGGGAGGGAGTATGTGACCTGTGCGAGGGGTGGTGCTGGGCTATAAGGCGCACAAAGTCCTCCAAGGGGTTGCGCATTGCCTTCTTGAGTGGCTGGTGTGGGGAGGAAGAAGGGAGGTGAAAGAATGGCAAGAGTGGAGGGAAGAGTAGAATGAGGAGGAAGAAGACAGCAAGGAAGGGGACTAGGAAGGGTGCGAAGATGGCAAGGACTATGATGAGAGCAAGGCAAGCACAGGAAGGAATGTGGATGACTAAGTTTGCGCATTCTAGGCTGGGAGTTGACAGGGTCAACGGTGCGACTAGTGCAGTGTAGACTGTGTGAGTGCATGGGCAGTGTGGTGCAGTTGCTGAAGCGTGTGAGTGTGCGTGTGCATTCATGCGTAACTGCGAATCCCAAATGGGAAAGAGAACTTAGATGCATGAGAACGTGAATGGGAATGGGGATGTGCATGTGCATGTGCACATGCATGTGCATGTGAGTGCTGCAGAGGCTAACCAGGGAGGTGAAGATGAAGTTGAAGGCGACAGCAGTGGCCTCCTCTATGTCATGCAGCTTCGCACGCGGGCCAACCTGGATGATGTGCACACGTGGATGGCATGCACGCATGGATGGCATGCACACGTGGATGGCATGCACACGTGGATGGCATGCACACGTGGATGGCATGCACACGTGGATGGTACAGAAAGGGTTGTCGAGTAGGTAAGAACGCAGATGGAAGCAAAAGCAAGCAATACTCTGAGAGTTGCGGTTGAAGGGAGCTGGAGAAAAAAAAAAAGCAGAGAATGGGGGTAACGGGGTGGAAGAAGAGGAAGAGGAGTGGGCATGGTGGGGGGAAGGGATGGGGTTGAGGGAGTTGGGGGTGAAAGGGGTGAGTGAGTATGGAAGGCGGTGGGTTGGGCGGAATGAGAGAGCACCTGTTGCTGCCCCTCATCCTCCTGGTCACTCCCAGACTTGGTGGTCGCCTTCCCTTGCTCCCCTGCAGTTGCTGTTGCTGTTGCTGTTGCTGTTGCAGTTGCTGTTGCTTCCTCCCCACCCTTCTTGGGTAGAGCAAACATTCTGTTGCGTGGGCCACACATGCGGCCAGATGGAATGGGATGGGAGGGATGGGAGGGATGGGTGGAATGAGAAAGATGGACGAAACCATACAGACGGTTGAGATGACGTTGTAATGTTGAAATGACGGAGATCATGAACGAATAAGACGATGGACGGACGACAGGAGAAAAGATAAAGGTGGGAAGGAATTGGAAGTAGGGGCATGGCATGCGCATGCGCTCTTCACGAGATGAAAACAAGCAAGCAAGCAAGGACATGCTCCTCCCACGTTTCATTCGCTCCATTGCATTCCACCTCACTCCACCCCCACCCCCTCCTGTCAGTCAGTCCGCACGCACCACATGCTGAACCACTCCAGCACGCCTCACATTGACATCTGAGGCAGCCCGCCTACCGCCCTCTCCCCATCCCCACTTCCCCTCTCCCCATCCCCACTTCCCCTCTCCCCATCCCCACTTCCCCTCTCCCCATCCCCACTTCCCCACTCCCCATCCCCACTTCCCCACTCCCCATCCCCACTTCCCCTCTCCCCATCCCCACTTCCCCTCTCCCCATCCCCACTTGTGAGAACAATAGTTTGAAGAGAAGTTGATGATTGAATTGAGGAGATTGGGGGTTTACATAGGGAGTGGGTTGGATCCTAGCCTAGGTGAGCATTATTGGACCCCAACCAAGAAGTTGGGTTGGGGGATTATTGGTGGGGTCCAATAATGTTGGCCAAGTTGGAGTTGGGCCAACATTATTGGAGTGAACCAATAATTCTACCCAACCCAACCTTTGGGGTCCAATAATTGGACCAAGGTTGGGTTTCCAACCTACAAACTGGGTGACCCTTGTTTGTACACCCAAACTGAGTTTGGGTGCTTAACTCTAGCCTAACCTATAACATCTATGCAGGTTACACAAGAAGATAGATTCTAACACCACTTCCCCACTCCCCATCCCCACTTCCCCACTCCAAATCCCCACTTTCCCTCTCCCCATCCCCACTTCCCCACTCCCCACCCAACCCCACTCCCCGTCCCCACTTCCCCACTGCTATCCTCCTTCCAGCCCTCTCCTGCCCTCTTCTTGACATTTCGCCACCACCATTTACTTCCCCCACTTGCCACTGAAGCTTCTACAGTCTACTCCAGCACATACCTCGACTCCACGCATTCATTCACTCCAGCACACCCTACTGACTTCTCCGCCAGCAGCTCTTCCCTCTCCTCCTCCCCTCGGCCCCTCCCCCCTGCACTATCACTTCTTCCCTGCGCATCCCCACCTGCCAGTGTACACATTCATTCATTCCCACCTCCAGCATGCCCTAGCTACCACTAACTCAACAACAGACTCCGGACCATCTCACTAACGCACCATGCCTCCTCCTCGTCACCACCCATGCCCACTCCCCCTTCCCTTCACAACCCTTCCACCCCCCTATCCTCCTTTCTCATCCCAGCGCCTTTCCACCTGTCAATGCGCACACAAATCCACCTTCAGTCTCCTCACCCCTTTTCCGCTCCTCCCTCCCCACTCGAAGACACTTCTCTTCCCCCACAAAGCCCCTCCCCACCTGTCAGTGCGAACAATGAACCCAGTGCAGCACGCCCTGCGCCGTCCTCTCCCCATCTGCCTCTCAACCCCGTCCGTTCCCCTTTTCCTCCTCCCTCCCCCTTCCACCTCCCTCCCTCACGTTCTCCCCTCCTCCCTCTCCCCCCCTATCCCCACCTGTCAGTGCGCACGTTGATCCACTCCAGCACGCCCTGCGCCGTCCTCTCCTGCGGCGTCACTGCCTCCAGGGCCGCCTTGCCCGCGTCCGAGTGCCGCTCGCCGCTGCTGAACGCGCTCGGCCGCCCAAAGAACATGGACGGGTAGCTGTTCACGTCAAACCGCGTGCACAGCTGGCCCTGCAGGGAGGGGGGACGGGAGTGGGGAAGAAGGGGGGGAGGGCCGGGGGAGGGGGAGGGGAAAGGGCGGCGGCACATTTTAGACGTTTCAGAAGCCAAAGAACATGGGCGGGTAGCTGTTCACGTCAAAGCGCGTGCACAGCAGGCTCTGGCGATGGAAGGAGGGAAAGGGGGGGAGTGTGGGCGGCAGGGAAAGGGGAAGGGGTGGGAGCGACTTTTGAGAACATGGACGGGCAGCTGTTCACGTCAAAGCGCGTGCACAGCAGCCCCTGCAGGGAGGGGAGACGCGGGGGAAAGGAGGCGGACAGGGAGAGGGGAGGGGAGCGACTTTGGAGGAGGGAAAGTAGGGACAGGAGGGACAAGAAAGGGAAAGAGAGGGGTGGGGGGAGCTTGACAAGGGGAGGGCGTGGGTGGCGTGACGAGAAACCGGGGGTGGGGAGATGCGTGTGTAGCAGTGGCAGTGGCAGTGGCAGTGGCAGTGGCAGTGGGTGCCATGTTGGTTGGTTGGACTCACATCGGAGGCGCAGTCGACTTTAGCAACGTAGATGAAGTCGGAGTTGGGCGAGGAGGGCGCTTTGAAGCCCCTCTTGGGCCAACTTTTGAGGGGACTCTTGATGTGACTTTTGGGGCGCCTCTAGAGTGGGTTGGAGTGGGTTGGAGTGGGTTGGAGTGGGTTGGAGTGGGTTGGACTCACATCGGAGGCGCAGTCGACTTTAGCAACGTAGATGAAGTCCGAGTTGGGCGAGGAGGGCGAGTTGAAGAGCCGCGCCACCTGCTCGTACTCCGGCTGCCGTGGCGCAATGCATAGGGAGACACGTGGAGACACGTGGAGACACGTGGAAAGACATGGAGATACGTGGAGTCACGTGGGCATGGAGACACAAGGGACAAGGGGACACATGGATGGCGAGGAAAATTCATTATCCCAAAGACGCATAGAGATGGAGATAAAAGGGTAGGGGGAACAAGGGGTATGGGGATGAGGGTGGAGTGGCAGAGAAAGAGAGTGGTGTGAGACAGGCAAGGTTTGGGACGTCTCAAAGCAAGGCTGGAAGTGACGATGGGGAGTGGATATTAAGATTTTTTAGAGGAAGGCTGGGAGTGACGAGGGGAAGCGGATAGGTGGCCGGAAGCGAGGAGCGAGAAGGGGGAAGTTTCATAGGGTGCGAGACAAGAAAAACAAGCAAACAAGAAGCGAAGAGGTAAAGTGGGGGGGGGGGGGGGGAGGGGAAGGGGGGAGGCGGGGGGATGGATAGACAGATAGAGAGAGTGTGTGTGAATTGCTTGAGGAAGGGAAGCGAGAAACGAAATCAATCACAGGAAGCAAAGACAGTCTTCTGGATTATTTTACACACAAAAAAGGGACAACGGGCCAAGATGAGTGCAGCATTTACCTTGAAATACTGGCAGGCGGGACACCTGGGGTGGGGGTTGTAAGGAAACAAGCAGGCAGGTGGGGAGACAGGCACAAAAAAAAGGGGGGGAAGCGGGGGTAAGGAAGGGGGAATGGGGAAAGAAGGCAGGTTGAGAAGAGGCGAAAGAGGAAATGAGGAAGGTAGGAAGGTGACGGAGGCTAATGGCATAGTAAGGCCAAGGACCAACGCGCACAACTTGGAAGGGGAATGGAAAGGGGCGGAGAATGGGGATTGGGGAACGGGGAATGGGAAACGGAGAATGGTGAACGGAGAATGGTGAACGGAGAATGGGGAGCGGATGATGGGGAACGGAGAACCAATGTCCAGTATCGAGCTCACACGCACATCTGCTCACGCCATAACTCCCACACAACGGATCACAAAACAGGAATCATTGTGAATCATCCTCGTTCACGAGCTACATGCGCTCTCTTCATCCCCTACCTCTTATCTTCCTGGCAACCGAACCTTGTGTTCTCTCTACTTCGTTCCGTCGCGTCCGCTCTCTCGAACTTCGCTCACTACCCCCGACATGATCCCTAACTCCCTTGCTCTCCATGTGAGCCAGCACCATTGCCATTCCATCCTCCAAACAACCCGCACCATTACCAGTCCTGGTTCGGCTCACCCCTTTGCTAATTTTTGTTGGCTTGCTTTCGCTTAACTGGAGGGATGTTACCCGGAACCATCGCGTACCAGCTGGCGAAGAATTCGACGAGCGCCCAGGGCTCCTTGGCTGCGGCGAGGCTGTCGTTGAACGTCGTCATGGTGAGAACATGCGAGTACGTGCCGTCGTCCGTCGCAGACGTCATCGGCGTCGTCGCCACGACTTGCAGCAGCGCCACGATGAGCAGCGGTGCGACGGATCGCAAAAGCGGTGTAGAGCGTTTGCGCACGGAGAAAAGGAGGGTGCTTTGAGGTTGGTTGCACGAGAGATTGAATCTACGGCTGTGATGCCGCGATCGGTCCATCGTGGGAACCAGAATGACGGCAATGGGGTCGTGACCGATGTGAAGAAAGCGGTTGTCGGAAAGGAAGAAGAGCAGGATTCGAATAGCCAAGGGGACTTCTAAAAAAAAAAGCAACGTGGATTGTCAAACACCTCCTGGCATGGCGACCCGATGAGAGAGCGAGATCGGTTTGAGTGAGGAGGCAGCAGTCTACAGATCCACGGGAATCTCCGTGGCTACTCTGATCCCTCGATAACGACGAGCTGGCTATGACTGAAATTTGTAATGGGTGCTTTGGTCTGGGAGGAGCTGCAGGCAACGGTCGGATCTGTGTTTTGATTGGATGGGGCGAATCACTATAACTCACCACCAGCCGTACCAGCATGACGGCCTTACTCGCTATAAGATCGTAAATAACGAGTGAGACGAGGTTGTCACATATCCACAATTTTCGTTGAACTCTAAGTTCAAGACAAAGGTGTATCCAAGAAGCGTTTTCTTTGCTGAATAAAATGTATGTACTTTCTTATAAAACCTTAAGTAATTAATTTAATACAATAATTTTTGTATAATAATTTATATTTAACGTCTATTAAGCCGAATTGTGCATTATTCTAATCATGAATGTGTTTTTCTTCCGAATCAAACGTACCCAAAAACTGTATTAACGAAGCATCCATAACAGGAAATCAAGCATCCCCCCAGCACTGGCATGGCGCGCTGAGTCACGGACTGCGGCATGCAGGAAATGTTCGATGCATGCCATTAGATTTATTCGGCAGCGAATGCCAGCACGAACACCATAGCACTTCTCTTGTTCACGCCTACTGGTCTCAGGAGTGAAGCGATGGCGGAAAGCGAGGTTGAATCCCACGCTCTCGTTTTTGAGTGCGAAGTTTGTTTCTTCGGTTCTTTCGCGCCAGTTGTCCCAGAACTGTCTGAGAAGCGCAGACATGGCTGATGAGACTTTTTCTGTCGAGGAAAGCAATGGCACAGTGTTTGATCCGAATGAGAACGGCAGGAAAGTGTGTTTTAAGTTTCAAGCGGATCCAATTGCGCGCTCGCCGTCCTTATCATCGAAGCCGTCGAGCCCATGGCGGTCCTTGGTTTGCCCTCCAAGTGCAACTCCAGGGACGCCTTGTATCTGTTGCAAGCCGCTGAGGTTTGGAGAGGCGTTTCCCCTTGGCCTCAACTCAGGGTAAGCTAGTGTAACTCCTTGTCATACTGGTGTTTCTACGTGATTCTGATTCTTGACGTTTGGATCGCAGGGGAGGGCCAGACGGTCTGGTATACGTTCCCAGCACATACACGGAAGCAAGTCCATGTCCGATTCTCGTGGCGCTGCATACAGAAGATGGAGATGCTAAGGAAGCCCTCGCTCCGTTCGTGCAGTATGCAGAGCAGCATCGTCTTCTCTTGGTGGCTCCAGACTCTCGAGATGTCCTGTGGGATTGCTCCTTCGAAGGCGCAAATATGGATGCGTCATTCATTGATAAGTACGCTGTGCCACTCAGTATTTATTGGCTTAAAGTTGACACGTTCCAACTCTGCTTTACCATATCATTTGCATGCTTCGTTCGCATACGGTTTTAATTCATTTCAGGGCAATGGAGACTGCATTCAGTCGCTTCTCGGTAGACCCTGAGAGCGTGTGCCTCTCGGGGGTTTCTGAAGGAGGAACGATGGCTATGGCTCTGGGACTGCGAAATAGTCAGCTGTTTAGGTACGTGTTGTAAGTGTTGCATTGCATGGCACGGACGTTCTTTTTGGCACTCTTTGCTGTTAACGATCGATTCCCCGTGCTTTTCTCCCTATGTGGCAGTCATGTCATGGCGTTCTCGCCTGGAATGATAGAGTTGCCGTGCTACCAAGACGGCCCTGACATCTTCATATCACATGGGACACGTGACCCAGATCGGGACGTTGATGTGTGTAGTCAAGAGCTTGTACCTAAGCTCCGGAGGTGCGGTTATCATCTGAGATATGTGGAGTACGAAGGCTCAGACATGACACCACCACCTGAAGTTGTCTCTGAAGCAGTGGCTTGGTTTAGGAGGAAGAGGGTAGGATCATGGATTGGCTTAGATACACTTTGAAGTTACATCGAATTCCCATCTTCTGTTATGGAAAAGCTGTTTTTTTTGTGGTATCAAAGTTTTGTGCGGAGGACTCGGTCGGTGAGTACATGCAAAGAGGGGTCTACTTGGAGCCCATTGCAGCAGGGCAGTCACTCACAATCCTTGAAATTCAGAGTTGTTTTATAGCTGTAGTGTAGTTCGTACTTGCAGAGTTTGAAATAACATGTTTCCAATGATTACGGTATCCTCAATTTTTTCATGTCCATATCAATATTGCACACATAATGCACAAGTGACATCTGTACAAGAATCAACTGTATAGGATTGTATGAAAAGGGAAGCTCACAAAAGTCCCGGCGTGGCGTACCACCAGCGACCTCTTACCGATACGAGGTCCTCCGATACACAGTCGTAATGCATCTCAGAACAGCTGGCATGAAATGGATGCGCTGCTTATGGATATGATTTATTTCTGCTCGTCCGCCTCGTCTCCCCCCCACTCCCTGTTCCGAGAGGGTTTTCAACCCCTCCCTCCAATTCTCCCTTCTCTCGCCTCCTTGTATCTCGACGCTAGTTCGTCGCCGTTCTCTCCGCAAAGGCATCCACGTGTCACACAGAGGCACTGTGCCTGGTCCCCTTTCCTGGTCGTTGTCGAGCCGCAACCATGGTCAGTAATGGCGGAGCATGCGAGGGAAATTGCTGCGGATCCTTGGATTCCCTGACGTAGCGCGATAGGGAGGGTAGCGCTTAGTCTAGGATTTCTTGTGCTCGTAGTTTTTCCGAATATTCCATTTCTTTAAAGGTTGGTGGCTGCCGTTTGCCCGCGATATTGTCACAGGTGAACGTGCCGAAGACGAAGAAGACGTACTGCGGCGGCAAGTGCAAGAAGCACACTACCCATAAGGTTACCCAGTACAAGAAGGGCAAGGACAGCGTCTACGCTCAAGGTACGCGACGCTTGTTAAATCGTTGAAGCGCATGCAGTTTCTTCGGTCGGGTGCTCAGTATACGCGGTAGTGGTAGCATGTGGTTTCATGGCTTCGGATCGGATAAAGCCATGGCAAGCGGAGCGGATTAGGTTAACCATGCGTTTGTTAGAGCCGTTTTTTCCCCGCTTCAATGAATACTCGCGCGGGTCGTCTTTCGTGCTCGGGTGGTTGGATCTTAATTTCCATAGCCTCGTTCGTTCCCCTTCCTAACCCTAATCGTACTGCCTGGTGACATGGCAGGAAAGAGGCGTTACGACAGGAAGCAGAGCGGGTATGGTGGACAGACCAAGCCCGTCTTCCACAAGAAGGTCAGAATCTCTCTTTCTATTCTTTCCTCCCGTCGGCAACGTTGGAGCTCTGATGAAGCACGAGTTTCTTTTTTCCAAAGACGACAGGGATGAATTCCTGCTCCAGATAGCCGAACTGCCAGGCAGGAGGGAAGAGAGGAAAAGGGTGGAAAAATCATAGGTGGGGAGCGGATAGGTTTCGGAGACGGCGAGGCGGCGTGGTAAGGTAGTCAGTTTGACTGGATCGATAAGCCTCATGGGAGGTCTGAAGGCGAAGCTGTTCATGGGAGGGAAAGACAATGGGGGAAAGGGCAAGGATGGCCACGGTGTGGTGGGGGAACCCAGAGGTTGGGTTCGCTCGGTTGCTGATGTGGTTCTGCTAGGGTGATCACTGCGGGACGAGGTTTTTCCGACTCTACAGCCTTCGTTTCCCCTTCCTCCCCGCGCCTGCGCTACTATCTCTTGCTTACGTTCAGCGTTTGAGTCCTATTGCATCTTTTTTTTCGCCTTACGCGTACCGCGTTTCTCGCTCCTCTCTTCCCATCACCCCCCCGCCACCCACACCACACTCTCTCTCACCGCATCCACTTTGCTCCCATGCTTCCTCCATTTCGTCGCCCGCTCCTCAATGCCCTCCACCCGCGTTCCATCATCTATTCACCTTCTCTCCCTCGTAGCTCCTTTCTCTCGTTGTTTTCTCGTAGTCCCACTTTTCGAACTCACCGCGTCCCCCTCTCCCGCGCGATACTGCGCTGTCCCTGTGGGCGTCGTTTCACTCTCCCCCCGCCAGGCCAAGACGACGAAGAAGATCGTGCTGAGGCTGCAGTGCCAGTCGTGCAAGCACATGCACCAGACGCCCATCAAGGTACTGCTTGTCTGGGGATGCGTGTGAAGGGAAGGGTTGGGGGAAGAGATGGAGAGGGGGAGAGGTTGTGGTCCCTAGGGGATATACTCCGTCCAAGGTAAAGGGGAGGAGGGTTTCTTGGATTGGAGTGTGGGTTGCTGGGGTAGTAAGGGAGCGTAGTAGTATAGAAATGGAAAGAGGAGCGGGGTTAGGTCACAATGCCACCAGTGCTCAGCGCCCTGCCCCGACCTGATTCGGAGTATATGGAGGGGATGAGACGGTGAGTTGGAGCATAGGGCCTGCGATCGCACCAGGGCAAGGAAAGAAGCAAGGCTGCCTTGCCTAGCCGCGTGAGCGATGCAGTGGATTTGTATGGATCCTCATCCTTAGCGCTACAGGAAGTAGAGCGGGTGTGGTATGATGTGGAAACAGCGGTGGGGAGTGTATGGCTTAGCGCCTCTTGATGTGTGGTTTATCTGCTGTGTTTGTTTGGATGGTGCTGTGATGCACGGGCTGGAGGGTGCAAGGCCTCTCACGCCAGCGGTTAGTACGCAGGGCTAGCGGGGCAAGGAGGGAGGGGAGTGTTCTGGTAGTCAATGTCTTTGGTTAAGGAGAGAGTGTCATGGCTTAGTGGACAGCCTAGCTGACCAGCTTAGATGGGTCATGTGTTGGAGTGTCTTCTCCCAAGTGGTCTGTCTGGACTTGCATTAGTACAGGCTTTTGCTTCCTTATTGCCTGTGAATACGCAACCATGAGGTAGCTGCTTTGAAATACCAGACCCAGATACGCTCATCGTCTGCTCTGCTAATCCCTTTTTTCCTCGCTCTTCCATCGTCCCTTCCTCTCTGTCCCGCTCCCCCCTGTCTTCCTTTCCCACTCTCGCCATCCCCACCCATCTCTTTCACTTTCTATCTGCACGCCTCTACCCAGTTTTGCATCATCCCTGCACTATACCATCTGTTCCCTCCATGTGTAGTCCTACCTTTCCTGTTTTTGCTGCCGTTTTTCATCAGTTTCCCATCTGCTTCCTCGTTGTTTCCATTGCCTGTTTGCCCCTTATCTGTGGCCGCCAGCGTTGCAAGCACTTCGAGATTGGTGGAGACAAGAAGGGCAAGTCCACCTCCCTGTTCTAAGCGCTCCTGTGGCAATCCCAAGAACTGCACGTGTGCAGCATATGGCCTAGAGGGGAGAAGGGTAGTGGCTGCGGAAGCCTTCAAGCCTCGTGCAAGCCTGTCTACCTGTGGATTGGTGGAGTGGAGGTGGTGGTTTGCTGGTCTCGATCGCTTGGGCTTTGGTTGTGGTTGTGTCCGCATAGCCTACCGCATGCCCTTGCCTGTCGTTGCCTGTTGAAGTATTGAGATGATTCAGTGGAGTAACACAATTGTGGCTTTCATTGCTGTCAAAAGCTTGCAATCACAAACTACTACTGCTGGCTACGAGTGGTGGTTGAGGCATAAGTAGCCTGGCAATGAATGCATGCATCAATGTACAATGTGGAAAGAGTCCTACATAGGGCGTGTTCCTACAGCCCCTTATCAGGCCTACCTCTTATCAAGCTCGCGTCAAAACACACTGAAATTTTCCCTAAACCCAGGAACCCTCGCTACCAGGCAAGGCTGACAAGAGGTTTGCCTGATAAGAGCGTAGGTACACGCCCATAGCATATTCAGATCAGACAATACAAAAGCTAAGCAAACATATCAAGAAACACCAACTACTCTTCCTTCCTCCTATCCTCCGTACACTTCCTTGCACGAAACTCCTCGTCCCCATCCTTGAACGTCCCCACCATCCGGTCCCACCAAGTGAAATACAGGGACCGATTATAGCGAGGATCCAGGTGGTGGAGGAAGTGAGTGGTGGAGCGTTGAGCCCCAGGAGTGAGCAGGATGCCATAGGAGAGAGGCACAAAGACCAAGGGGGGGAGATGGTATGCGCAGTGGCCCATGGTGTTGACCATTCCCACTGGGATGAGCGCTAGGGCTAACTCCAGTGGACGCCAGGAGGGGAGGGAGTGGAGGAGGACGACGAAGAGCATGTAGAAGGCTGACCAATCCAGGAGAAACTCGAAGGGGTCTGTGATAGTACAGAGGGGTGGGGGGGCAGGGGGGACACAGAGCAGGCAGGAGAGGATTCAGAGCAGGATAGAACTGGGCTGGCGAGAAAGAAACAGATCCACTCTTATTTCTGTCTTCATTGGTAGGATTTTTTTGAATAGAAACAAAGCTTTCTAAAACGGCAGTGTGAAGAAATAGAGGAAACCCGGAGCGAAGTACTGCAGTAGCCTGAACAAATCGTCTCACCATCATAATTGCAAGAAATAGTTGCAGCAGAGGTTGCTTACCAGCATTGGAGGTGGAGAAAACCCCGAGGTCGGTGGTGGTGCGGTGGTGCATGGCATGTAACGCGCGGTACAGCGTCTTATTCAAGTGCATGAGCGAGTGCGTCCAGAAGAACCACGCATCGTGCGCCACCATGATACCCCACGCCAGCGCCCACGTGGGCAGCACACGTGGAGGAAACACCAGCTCAGCGCGCGCGACGATACCCCTGCGGAGGTACCCCACGAGGAGGAAGAGCGGGACGTGGGAGACGAAGACCGCGAGGAAGTTCTGACGGGTGAAGTGCGTGAGGCGGAAGGGCACGTTTGGGATGATTCGGCGCACGCCGAGAGAGGGGAAGCGGCGCTCCAGCAGTGTGAGGAGGTAGTAGAGGAATGTTTCCGCGACGAATTGGGCGAGCGTTGCGGCTAGGGCGCCGAGGACGGCGACGCAGCAGCAGGTTAGGAGCTCCGATAGACCTCCGTTTCTGAATCCACTGGAGGCGGGAGTCGCTGTCGCCATCACGTCACCCGCCACTCCTGCCTGTGGGAGCAAACTTTGAAGTAGCCCTCTTACTACTGTGAGTTTTCCAGGAATTGGATTTCCCGAGGTGAGGAGTTCCGTGTGGGAGGGAGCATTTGCCTGATGATCGTGCACGGAGCTACTGGCAGCGGAACTGGCAGAATCTCCGTGACTGCTAGAAATAGGATATTGCCGCGGTTGCCATGGTGATAGCTCCTCCGCAGAGTCTGCGCCAAAAGACGTCCATGGCTTGAACAGGGCTGCTGGGATTCCGGAAGCAGCCATGACGCAGCACCAGCACCAGCACCAGCACCAGCAGCAGCAGCGGCAGCAGCAGCAGCGGCGGCAGCAGCAGCAGCAGGGACGGATGCGAGATACTTCCAAGCAGGAGTACTGTTCCTCGTGGTACCACCAGCACTGCTATTACTGGTAGCGAGGAGGCGCAGACGAAACGGGGAAGCTCGGCAAATCGGATCGCCGCTGTTTTTCGCCAACTTCTGAGTCACAGCAACTGAAGCGCTACTTGACTAGCTTTGCTTGGCACGGAATGAATTAGTCCTAAGTGGGGGGGAGGAGGGGGTGGAACAAAGTGTCGAGGCAAGAAATTAATTACCACTGGCACCCATTGTGCCGCGCTGGCTTGAGCGAGTATCTCGATGGAGTGGCATGACAGCGAGTATTGCGAGGTTCAGGTAACACAGTGAAGTATTCGTGAGGTGACACGCGTTCGTAAGGTGCGCCACTAGCTTTGCTTTCTTTGCTGTGCTGAGGCGATCGTGGCTCGGAGAGACGAGAGTTATACGGAGCGCGCGACGCCGAGTGTGAAGCTGGAGGATGAGTTAAATAACTGCTGCATAGCTGGATTGGCGTGGCGCGGATGATTTTCCAACCACTGATTCCAGCTTGTTAGTGCTGGAATACGCTTCATTCTGGCATGCATGCAAGAGAACAAGTAGATTGGTGCAGTTGTGGGCAACAATTTGGAGCCGCGTCATTCCCTAGGCAATTGAGCACATTGCGACGCGTTGGAGGGAAAAGTGCGGCGAACTTTGCGGCGTTCATCAATGTACACGAGGTTGAAAGATGTGCAATTAGGTCACGCTGTTATGATTATGAAATGAAGGTTCTATCTAATAGCGAAAATAGAGTCAACTTACAAGAGGAACGTTTGAGCCTCGAGTTGACGAGATCATTTGATAGTCTCCCCAGATCATCCTCACGGCAAGTTCCCCACTACAAGTTACCGTTGTACGGCACGCAATGAAGGTTCTCGTCGTCGGCGGCACGGGTTACCTTGGCCAGTTCCTCGTCAAGGCGCTTCTGGAACCGGGAAACGCGGTGGAGGCCGATGGTCGCGCCGCGCGCGATGACGTGGCGCTGACGTACTGCTCCTCCCCGCCAACCGCGGATCAGGTTGCCGCGCTCGGCGGGCCGCGCGCGTTCCGCGTGGATCTGGCGAGCGGCGACGGGCTCGCGGCGTGCATTGCGGAATTCGGACTGGTTGGTGGGTTGGGATCCCTGGGAGTGACGACTGATAATTGACGACTGAGGAGTGCGGTTAAGGTGCAAAGTGAGACGATCGAGGCGCCTAGGTTAGGATGCGAAGAACAGTTGAATACACGTGATGGATTGGAAGGTTCGCCCAGCTACGTATCATGCCATTCCATGACGGCTCTTCTTTCCACGCCAATTTCCACCCAGCTTTACCTCACCCAACCCCACCCCACCCTACCTCACTCCACTCCAACCCATTCCATCCCACCCCATCAGCCGGACGTGGTGGTGAACTGTGCAGCCGTGTCCGTGCCAAGGCAGTGCGAAAGCGATCCTGCCCTGGCCATGCGTCCCCTCTGCTTCTCCGCTTCTCCTTCCCTCTCCATGCTACACTTTCCTCTCCCCCCCTCCCTTTCCCATCAGCCGGACGTGGTGGTGAACTGTGCAGCCGTGTCCGTGCCAAGGCAGTGCGAGAGCGACCCTGACCTGGCCATGCGCATCAACGTGCCCTCCGCGCTCATTGCCGCTCTCTCAGACGCCGCTGGGAAGCCAGCAGGGAGCAGTGCAACGGGCGATGGGCATGGCGATGGAATTGGCGTTGGGAGTGGGAGTAAGGAGGGGTTGGAGGGGTTGGAGAGGGATAAGGAGCAGCTGCGCCTGCCGCTGCTAATTCACCTCTCCACGGACCAAGGTGAAGCGTGTGTAGCGGGAGGGGGACGGGAGGGGGACGGGAGGGGGACGGGAGGGGGACGGGAGGGGGACGGGAGGGGGACGGGAGGGAGACGGGAGGGGTGAGGGAGGGAATGGGACTGTTGTTTCATATCACACATTTGCAGTCTTTAACCCTTGGCCACCCTATCCACTCTACCCTAAGCCGCCACCCTAGGCCACCCTAGACCAACGTGTGTGATACACACCTTTCGCACCCAGCGAGCCCATTCGGTCCCTTGGAAAAAAACCCTTCACAATATCTGCTCTTACATTGTGCTTTCTTTTGCACTCCTCTCCCACTCGCCTCGCCCTCGTGCTCGCCATGCCATGCCAGCAGGCCGTGCGGGCGCACTGTGCAGGGAAACCATTCCATTCTCCTCCCGCGCTCCCCGCCTTCTCCCCCACCCCCTCTACTCCCTCCCTCCCAGTGTACCAGGGCACTAAGTCGGTTTACAAGGAGGACGACCCATTGCTGCCAGTGAACACGTACGGCAGGACCAAGGTGGCCGGAGAGCAGGCTGTGCGCGAGCAGTGGCGGGGCAGCCATGCCATTCCCCTCCCCTTCCGCCTCCCCCTCTCTTCCTCCTCTTCCCCCAGTCTACAAGAACGCCTCTACAAGGCACCTTCCAGGAAATACAGAAAGATTATTGAGAATCCCGTTTCTTTCTTTTCCCTCCTCTTCCTTTCTGCCTATCCTCCTTCCCCCCGCAGTCTACGAGGGCGCTAAGTCGTTCTACAAGGAGGACGACCCGTTGCTGCCAGTGAACACGTACGGCAGGAGCAAGGTGGCAGGGGAGCAGGCCGTGCGCCACCAGTGGCAGGGCAGCCACGCCATTCTGCGCAGCAGCATCATCGTGGGCCCGCCTCCTCCTGTGCCCCTGAAGAAGACCCTGCCGCTGCAGGTGAGGCGTGGGGGATTCTTGAGGCGCTTCTAAAAAACATTGTCGGACCGTCCACGCTCCACTAGGTCTCTGACCCTGCCGCTGGAGGTGAGGCGAGGGGCATGTAGGGTTGAAAACGGGGAGGGGAGGGGAGGGAGAAGGAAAGAAGGGATGTTGGGATAGAAAGCGTGCTGTACGCTGTTGTGATGGAGTCAGTTCTGAGAATTTTCAATGTTCACTGAGAATGATGGCCATCATCTCCCAATGATGGTCACTTATGAGATAATGGCGTGCTGCCATGCCTCAATTCAGCTGCCTCTGATTGGAACATTCTATGTTGTGCTTGCCTGCTAGTCCAGATTTTGCAGTGCGTTTCTACATGTATAAATGTAAATATACATACTTGTATATAAGTATTCCCTTTCGTCCTTGAACTTCCCTTCTCTTTTCAAGTTCTTGTTTTTCTCTCCCCCTTCCCCTTCCCCTCCACTCCACCACACTCCCCCGCTTCCCCCACTAATGGATGGATGCAGCACTGCACTCCCTCCTTAAAATAAACCAACCTTCTTTCCGTCTTCCTCTTCCTCTCCCTTCCGTCCCTCTCCCTTCTCCTCCCACTAGTGGATGGATGGAGCTCTGCAATCTGCGCTGGGTTCAGGTCAACCAGAGTCCTTCTTTGACGATGAGTACCACTGCCCCGTCTACGATCACTCCTCGGCTCAAAAGACCGCCCCCCCTTTCCTCCCTCCGCCCATCCCCTGTCCGCCCCTTCCTGCCCCCCCTCACCAGTGGATGGATGGAGCATTGCGCACTGCATTGGCATCGGGCCAACCATTTTGACAATGAGTTCCAGTCTCTTGCTTCCCTCTTTCTCTTCCCCAATCTTCCCCTCTTTCTTCCCTTTCCTTCCCTCTCTCTTCCCCACCCCCACCCAGTGGATGGATGGAGCACTGCGCGCTGCATTGGCGTCGGGCCAACCGGAGTCCTTCTTTGACGACGAGTACCGCTGCCCCATCTACGTACACGACTACTCCCGTATCGTCCGGGCACTCATGCATCGACACGCCCAAGGTGCATTTCCCTTGCTGATTTCTAGCGGAGTGCTGGGGCTCTCCAGTGCATACCCCAGGGTTCATGGACAGTACTTGTGTTGGGCCTACTCTTCTTATCTCTGAAGGCTGAACAGGTAGTACTCTCACACTGCCTCTCTTTCAATGCCCGTTTGCAGCAACAACCATTGCTTCAATGGTCATTGGTCATTCCGTTTATACAGCCCCCTGCCCTCCCTGCTGCTCCACGCAACTCACCCCATCAGGCCAGCACGTGGCCCTGACATTGAACGTGGGAGGGCCAGACCAGACCGCCTGTCCAGAACTTTGAGATTATTACGCCTCAAAATAGATTATTACGTCCAACCCCCTGCCCGCCCTGCTCTCTTTCGCAACCCACCCATCAGGCCAGCGCGTGGCCCTGACATTGAACGTGGGAGGGCCAGACCGTTTGTCCAGAGCAGACATGGCCGCAGTGGTGGCCCGAGTCAGGGGGTACCTCGTCCCTGCCTCCACCCCCACTGCTGCTGATGGTGGTGCTGTTGATGATTCCGCTGCTGCTGCTGCTGCTGACTGTGCTGGTACAGCTACCAGTGGTGATGGTGGTGGTGGTGTGAGGAGGTCTGCGAGCAGTGAGAGCGATCTCATCATCAGAGTGCCTGCTGCATCCATGGTATGCTCTCCCTCCCTGCTGCCTCTGCTGCTGCTGTTGCCTCTGCCACATTCACTAGTTTTTTAATTCAATCCTCCATCCCCCTCTCCCCATTCTCTTACTCCTCACTCCATCCTCCAACTTGCACCCTAGTCCAGCTTTCCTGTTCGCTTTCCTGTTCCCTCCATTCCCCTCCCCCTGCCCCAACCCACACCCACCCACCACACATGCACTCACCCACGCACCCGGGCGTACTGAGGAGGAGCAAGTCCAGCAACAGCTGCATGAACACGCACCTCATTCAGCAACAGCTCTCGCGCTCCCTCGCTCCCTCGCTCCCTTAGAACAAGCTGTGCGGCTCACCATCGCGCCTATAACAAGGCTCTATCCCCTCCGCTCCCCCCTCTCCACACGCTCACCCACGCTCCCAGGCGAACCGGGAAGTGGCGAGTTCACCTGGACACACAGTTTCATTCAGCACGAGCTCTTGCTCTCCCTCATTCCCCTCCTTTTTGCCTGCACTTGCTCACGTTCTCATCTCATCTCACCCACGCTCCCAGGCGAATCGTGGAGTGGCGAGTCCACCTGACATCTCAATGAACACGCAGCTCATTCAGCGAGAGCTCTCGCTCTCCCTCACTCCCTTTGAACAAGCTGTGCAGCTCACTTTCGCTGCTGCACAGTGATTTTTTCAGCAGATGGACATTTATAACTTGCTGTGTCTTTGACAGTTATTGTTATATGCTCTCCAAGGGGAAACAGCCACCCTGGTTGGTACAACAACAGCTGCATCTTTACATGGTTCAGCGTGCAGAATATAGAAACAAAAGTAGCTGAGGTTACAAGTTGAGCACATTGCATTGCTTTGTTAGAGCCATTAATCCACCCATGAGAACCAATGATAATACACACAGGACAGCCCATCCAAAGGGTTTGGGTTGAGCATCCATCTGTACCACTGGCGACTTCAACAGCCCCTCAACAGTGCACTCCTCCCCACTCCTCCACACTCCCTCCACTTGTCTCCACTTCACTCCACTTCACTCCACCCTTCGGTCTCACAACCCAACCTCGTGCCTCCTCCTGCCCCTTATTCCACCTACCCATCATTCCTCCCTCCCCACACACTCCCAATCTACTCACCACCACAACTCCCCAACACCCCTACCCCCTCCTCCTCTACCCACCATCCTCTCACCCCCCTCGTTCCCCTCATTCACCCTCGCTCAAACCGGCGGCGGAGGCGGGCGCTTGGGCGGGGGCGGTTTCTTAGGCGGCGAGGGGGGAGCCGGCGCAGTGGTCATCGCCGCAGCCGTGAACGTCGCCCCCGCCCCAACCTGCAAGTACCCCAGCTGAGTCACCGCTTCGTTCGGCCTTATGGGGAACATCTTGGGAACGAGAGTGAAGAAGCCGGGAGCGGTGGGGTGGTCTATGAGGCCCCAACGGGAGAGAGGGGCGAGGTTTTTGGCGGCGATTTTGAGTGAGAGGATGGTTTTGTTGGTGTAGTTGATGATGGTTACGTTGTATACGTTGAAGGCGGGCGGGACCGTGGCGTCTATGGTCTGCAGGAACGTCACTGGGGCTGCAGGAAGCAAAGGGGGGGGGAGGGGGAGGGAGGGCAGGGAGGGAGGGGGACGCTTGAGTGAGGTGATGGTTTTGTTGGTGTAGTTGATTATGGTTACATTGAAGGCGGGGGGGGGGGGGACAGTGGCGTGTATGGTCTGCAAGAACGTCACTGGGGCTGCAGTCAAGAGGGAGGAGGGGGTAGAGGGAGGGGGGAAGGGGGGAAAGGGGGGAAAAGGGGATCGGAAGGGGCAGGGTGAAGGGAACATGGAAGGGAGAGGGAGCAGAATTGAGAGTGGTAGTGGTTGAGGAGTTCCAAGTGAACACCTTTGTCTCATGAGTAGGAGATGGAAGCTAGCTGACTTTGAGTCGACACAAAAGTCATCAAGTGAACACCTTTGTCTCATGAGTAGGAGCTGTAAGCTTGAAAAGGCTGACAGTTAAAACCATTTACCTGGTAAAGTAAGCAAACTGAGAGGAGGGAAGAGCATGTGGCCCGACTCATAACAGGAAAAGGGAGGCTTGGAGGCATGTTTTGCGCCTATTCATGACTTACTTATAACAGGAGGAGGGGGGCCGGGAGGCTTGGGCGGCGGAGAAGGCGGCAGGACGGGAGGTGAAGGGGGAGGAGGAGACGGTTGAACGGAGGGAGGTGATGGGGGTGGGGGAGCCGGCACAAGCACTGGCGGAGACGGCGGCGGCGGCGGTGTCCCCGTGAAAGGCGGAGGCGGAGGCGCGTTCGACGTGTACGAAACCACTCGGAACACCGGCGTCAGCGCTGCGTCCTGGATAAATCCAAACCCCGCCGACCCGCCAGGGTTGAGGTTGGCGGCCCAGTCGGGGAGGGCGAGGGAGCGGTCGATGTTCCAGAGGGAGTTGGGCGAGAAGGCGGTGGCTGCGAGGGCGATGCCCCGCACGGCGTAGATCCCCTCGTTGCGCACCTCGCAGTTCCACTGCTTCTGCGGGCCGTTGCTGTCCGTCCATGAGGACACGATGGAACAGAGGACGGTCACGTCTGGGGAGAGGGAAGGGAGAGAGAGTGAAGAGGAGATGAGGTTATAGGAGGGGCGAGTGCCTCAATTGCTTCTGCGGCCCGTTGCTGTCCGTCCAGGAGGACACGATGGAACAGAGGACAGTGACATCTGACGGGGGGGAGGGAGAGTAGAGGGAAGGAGGGAGAGTAGGGAGGGTAAAGGGGGGGGTAGAGGAGCGAAGGGATTGCCGCAGTTTCACTGCTTCTGCAGCCCGTTACTGTCCGTTCAGGAGGACACGATGGAGTAGAGGACAGTGACGTCTGGTGGGAGGAGGGTGAGGAGGGAGGGAGGGAGAGTAGGGAGAGATTGCCGCAGTTCCGCTGCTTCTGTGGGCCGTTGCTTTCCGTCCAGGAAGACACGATGGAGCAGAGGACGGTGACGTCTGGTGTGGAGGGAGAGGGGAGGGAGGGAGGGAGAGTAGTGAGGGTAAGGGAGGGGGGCTGGATGGAGCAGAGCACCGTCACGTCTGAGGAGGGGGGGAGGGAGAGTAAGGGGGGGGTTGAGGAAGAAGATTTGCCTCGATCGCTTCTGCGGCCCATTGCTGTCCGTCCATTGGGAGGCGATGGAGAAGAGCACCGTCCCATGTGGGAAAGAAAAGGTGAGTGGGCGGAGGAGAGGGACAGGAAAAGGGCAATCACGGTGACAGTTTTGACTTGCCTGAGAGAAGGGGGAAAGGTGGCTTGGAATTGATTGATCCGACAGCAAAGGGTGGATGGTAATGGGATCTGAACCAAATGAAAGTTTATAAATACATATATATATATATAGATAGATATATACATATACACACAGACACACACATACACACACACATGTGTGTATATATATGAAAGAGCGAGAGCGAGCAGAAAGCAAAGGCTGGTCACCTGAGAACGGCGGCGGCGGAGGCGAAGGGGGAGCAGGCGGGGGGCTGGGCGGAGAGGGAGGGGATGGGGGAGGGCTGGGGGGCGGAGGCGGAGAGGGAGGGGAGGGCGGGGGCGGAGGGCCAGGCGGGAGAGCGCCGACGAGGAGGCGGGCGAGGGCGCCTATGAGACCGGGGTTGTTGTAGGTGGTGGGCTCTCCATACTCGTAGCTGTTGCGCACGTCTGAATAGCTGTCCGTCTGATGGTTGGGGGAGGGGAGAGGAGAGGGGGGGAGAGGCGAGGGGAGAGGGTAGACGGGAGAGGGGAGAGGGGAGGGGGGAGAAGGGAGAGGGGAGAGGGGGGGAGAGGGCAGGGGGGAGGGGGGAGAGGGGAGAGGGACGGAAGGAGAAGGGAGACAGTGATCAGAGACCCATCGATTGCAGGGCTCCCACCCACGGCACACAGAAACTCACCCCGTCGCCCTTGGGACAACTCACTCTGTTGCAGCCAGCCAACAACTGCACCGATGTGTTCAAATGGTGTTAAGGTTGGGCATGTCGACATAGAGGTCGGAAAAGAACACCATCTGAGTGCCTGATGGCTGTGCATGCAAGGCATCGCGCCAACTCACCCCATCGCCCTTGGGGCCGCCGACGACAGCCCCGATGTGCACATTGGGGTTTGGCGCATCGACGTAGAGGTAGAAGGAGGCCACTTGGATTCCCGTGCGTGCAAAGACCCACCCACTGCAAACAGAAAAACACTCACCCCGTCGCCCTTGGGACCGCCGACGACAGCACCAATGTGCACGTTGGGGTTGGGAGCATCCACATAGAGGTAGGAGAAGGAGGCACCGCAGGCGATGGGGCGCGGGTCGACGTTGAACGAGACCACTGACGCCCCCCGGTGGTGGATGCGGCGGGGATAGTTGGCTGTGAAGCCCACGACGTAGGACAGGTTGAGCGGGTTCTTTCCCAACATGTAGTCCACCTGAGGGGGGGAAGGTGGGGGGTGGAAGGATGGGTTTGGCAGGATCGGGTTCAGAGGCAGGTGGGTTTGAGTCAAGTCAAAAGTCTGGCAGATGCATGGCGCATGCATGCATGCACGCACGCTCACCTGCGCCTTGACCTCTGCCACAATGTCAGCAGGCTTGAGCACAGTGCTTCAACACGTGAGCGTTTCCCCTCCCCCCGCCAAGTAGACTGTTGAGGCGCATCAAAGCTCACCTGCGCCTTGACCTCAGCAACAATGTTGCTGGGCTTGATTTGAACACAGTGCTTCCACACGTGAGGGTGGAGCCTGCGAACTGCGCGTCAGGGGACGAGACAACCATGTGCAATGGCATGCAGCGCGCTCACCTGCGCCTTGACCTCGGCTCTTATGTCAGCGGGCTTGAACACAGTGGATCCACACGTGAGCGTTTCAACTGCCACCGCCAATTAGACTTTGAGGCGCCTCAAAAGCTCACCTGTGCCTTGACCTCTGCCACAATGTCAGCAGGCTTGAAGACAGTGCTTCCACACGTGAGCGTTTGTCCTGCCCCCGCCAGGTAGTCCGCATACACGGATGAGAGGAAGGCCATGTTGACGATGTACTGGTTGTTCACTCCACGACCGGAGATGTACAGGTGTCCCGCTGTTAAAGGGGTGGATGGATGGATGGATGGATGGATGGATGAATGGATGGATGGATGGATGGATGGATGGATGGATGGATGAATGGATGGATGGATGGATGGATGGATGGATGGATGGATGGATGGATGGATGGATGGATGGATGGATGGATGGATGGATGGATGGATGGATGGATGGATGGATGGATGGATGGATGGATGGATGGATGGATGGATTGGGAGAGGGTAGGAGGACGGTGGGTCTTGAGGCGCCTCAAAAGCCCATGCCAGAGGTAGTCGTCTCTTGGCTCGGCTCACACGGATGCGAGGAACGCCATGTTGACAATGTCAATGTCTATGTCTCGAGTGCATCAAGTACAGAGTTACCCATCCCGTATAGAACTTTTGAGACGTCTCAAAACCCATCCCGTATAGAGACCCTTTCACTTACCCGGCGTGCGGGGGAGCTTTGGAGCGGAGTGGCCGGGCAGTTGGTTGCACACATAGTACTCCGCGCCCTGCTTGTAGCTGCCCAGCAGCGTGCTGCTACCCGCTGGGTTCGTCCCCGCCAGGAGGTACTGTTGCAAGAGGACAGGACGCAGAGAGGAGGGAGGATACAGAGCGAGGCGGGAGGGGGGGGGGGGAGGAGGGGGGGGGGGGGGATGAAGGGGGCATGTTGTTGCACACATAGTACTCGGCGCCCTGCTTGTAGCTGCCAAGCAGCGTGCTGCTGCCTGCTGGGTTCGTGCCCGCCAGGAGGTACTGCAGGGACACAGAAGGGAGCGCAAACGGGAGGAGTGTGAGGAGGAAAGAGGCATGCTGTTGCACACACATATTACTCTGCGCCGTGCTTGTATTGTATGATCCCAGTAGCGTGCTGCTGCTTGCTGGGTTCGTGCCTGCCAGGAGGTACTGCAGGGGTGGAGATGCAGAACGGGGAGCACGCAGGGGGAGTGTGACGAGGAAACTGGGCATGTTGTTGCACAAGTAATACTCTGCTCCTTCCTTGCTTGTAACAGCAGAGGCGAGTGCGGGTAAATGGCAGTGGAATGAACGACACGCACGACGAGTTGAGTTGAGGACGAAAGATCAGATGTATCCCCCCCAACCCTCGTTCCCACACACCCACCTTGCTCATGAGCACATGCATGCCCGCGTACTTGTTGTCCCAGCTGCTAACGCACATCCTTAGATTCGCATACCAGCAATCAACCCACATCGTCAGTTGGTGCTCCCTCCCTCCATCACCCACCCACCGTGCTCATGTGTACGTGCACGCCCGCGAACTTGTCGTCGCAGCTGCAGCGCAGAGCGTCCATCAGCACGCACCTTGGTCATGATATGAGCGTCCATCAGCACGCACCTTGGTCATGATATGAGCGTCCATCAGCACGCACCTTGGTCATGATAGGCGTCCATCAGCACGCACCTTGGTCATGATATGAGCGTCCATCAGCACGCACCTTGGTCATGATATGAGCGTCCATCAGCACGCACCTTGGTCATGATATGAGCGTCCATCAGCACGCACCTTGGTCATGATATGAGCGTCCATCAGCACGCACCTTGGTCATGATATGAGCGTCCATCAGCACGCACCTTGGTCATGATATGAGCGTCCATCAGCACGCACCTTGGTCATGATATGAGCGTCCATCAGCACGCACCTTGGTCATGATATGAGCGTCCATCAGCACGCACCTTGGTCATGATATGAGCGTCCATCAGCACGCACCTTGGTCATGATATGAGCGTCCATCAGCACGCACCTTGGTCATGATATGAGCGTCCATCAGCACATATCATCCCTCCCTCCATCATCTCACACGCACCTTGGTCATGAGTATGTGCACGCCCGCGTACTTGTTGTCCCAGCTGAACTCCGAGAGGCGCTCGGTGCTGGCCTTGAGCGTGGCGTCCTTGGTCACCAGGTAGATCACATAGCTCGCATTGCCCGTTGCCTTGTACAGCCACGCCGCCGCCCATGCCAGCTCGTCCTGAGGGGGGAGGGGTTAGGGGGAGAGGAGGAAGCGGGGAACGGGGGAGAGGGGAAAAGTGGGAGGGGGAAATAGGGAGAGTGGGGAAAGAAGGAGAGGAGAGGAGGAATTTTGAGGCGCCTCAGAAGTTGTCCCAGCTGAACTCCGAGAGCCGCTCCGTGCTGTCCTTGGTCACCAGGCAGCTCACGTAGCTCGCATTGCCCGTCGCCTTGTACAGCCATGCTGCCGCCCATGCCAGCTCATCCTGAGGGGGAAGGGAGAGAGGGGGAGGAAGAGAGGATAAGGAGAGGATGGAGAGAGGAGGAGAGGAAGGGGAGAAGAGGAGAGGAGGACAGGAAGGGAAGGCAGGAAGTGGAGGGGCTTGAAATGCAGCGTGGCTTTGTAGTGAGGCACCTCTTTCAGCTGGACTCAACAGTCCCTCTCTCACTCCCACCCACCAACCCTCCATCCCTCCCTCCTTCTCTCCCTCCCTCCTTCGCTCCCTCTCGCCCTCCTCCCCGCGCACCCTCCCTCTCCCGCACCCACCTAATACCCACTCCATGAGCGATAGAAGTTCTGCACGTTGATGATCACATCACTATACGCGCCCTTGTACGTGCCCTTTTGCGGCACCCCAAAACCCACCTGGTACCCGCTCCACGAGCGATAGAAGTTCTGAACATTCGTAATCACATCACTATACGCGCCCTTGTACGTGTCGGCGAACGAGAACAGCTGTTTCGAGTGCGCCAGCAGCAGGTTCGAGTACGCCGTGTCCTTCCCCGCAAACGCCATGCTTGCTGCAGCCATGGCTGCTGCTGTCTCCCCTGCCAGGTCGGACCCGGGGTGGGTAGCGTCTATCTTGTAGGCTGTGCGGTCCGTTGTCATGTCCTCAGGACGTTGCCAGCAGCTGTGATCCGAATTGCCATCGCCCACCTGGAGAGAGGGAGCGGGAGAGAAGCGGGGAGGAGAGGACAAGGGGAGAAGGGGAGGAGGACAGGAAGGAAGGAGTGGAGGAGGGAGTAGGGGAAGGGGGGTTATTCGAATGACTGAAAAATCAGCAGCTGTGGACCGTGCTGCCGCAGTTTCCCCCGCCAGGTCGGACCCGGGGTGGGTAGCGTCTATCTTGTAGGCTGTGTGGTCCGTTGTCATGTCCTCGGGACGTTGCCAGCAGCTGTGATCCGAATTGCCATCGCCCACCTGGACGGGGGGGACGGGAGGAGAGAAGAGAGGGAGAGGGAGAGGGGTGGGGAGTAATGGGTGGAAGGGAGGTGGGGAAGAAATGGGAGGAGAAGGGGGGAAGAGGAGATGAGAGGGTAATAAGAGGAACGAAAGATGAGGAAGAGGGAGCAGGAGGAAACACGTTTAGTGAATAAGGGCTTTAAAGCCGCCTCAAAGGCGAAGGCACAGGAGGCTACGTGGTAAAGGAAGGCAACTGCCATTCTCCGCCACCGAGGGCTCAAGTCACCACTCACAGCACACCACTCACGCCCATTGCTCTCCGCCCCGACTCACTTCCTGCCTCTGGCTTCCTCCTTCCCCACTCCTTCCCTCGCTCCGCTCCCCCGCTCCCCCTCCCCCGACCCCACTCCCTCGGCCCCACTCCCCCGCCCCTCTTCCCCCCTCTCCGCCGCGCTCCCCTCACCTGACCCCACAGCTCGTTCGGCGCAGTGTGCGCCTTGAGCAGGAAATCGGAGCCCCACTTTATCGCGTCCAGAGTGTACCCGAGCTGCCCCTGAATGTCCAGCTGGCGCCCGTACTCCACGACGACCCACGACAGCACCGTCACGGTATATGCCATGGGGAACCCGAACTTCACGTTGTCGCCCGCGTCGTAGTACCCGCCCACTAGGTCCACCTGCGCGGGGGGACGGCGGGGGGAAGGCGGAGCGGCCAAAGCGCGGGGAGGGGGAAGCGGTGGGCCAGGGACGGGGGGAGCACGAAAGGTGAAGCGCGGACAGCGGAAGTAGGGCGGGCGGGTGGAAGAGTGTAGGAGGTGGGTGGAGAGGGGGTGCTGGCGGCCCGTACTCCGCCACGACCACGACAGCACCGTCACGGTATACGCCATGGGGAACCCGAACTTCACGTTGTCGCCCGCGTCGTAATACCCGCCCACTAGGTCCACCTGCGCGGGGGAAGGCGGAGCGGGTGTGGCGCGCGGGGCGGGCGAAGGGAGAGAGAGAGGGGTTGAGAGCGGAAGGGGAGGCACGGACGGCGGAAGCGAGGAGGGGGAGTGCGGGTGGGCGGGTGGGAGAGATCGGGGAGGTGGATGAGGAGGGCGTGTCGGGCGGTCGGCGGAGAGGAGGGACGCTGTTTGAAGCGGGCGCGCGCGGCACGATGGGGACGCAGCCGCGAGCCCGCGCGGTGCGAGGGTGGGTGGGGGGCAAAACCGCAAAAATAGACGGATGCCCTTTTGGCGATCACAGCGACTCGCATTCCTCATCCCCTCCCCTCCCAGCCCCCCCTCCCCCTCTCCCCTCTTTCCCCTTTCCCAACAATAACCCTTTACCCCAGGCCTCCCCGCGTGCTCGAATCCCCTTCCCCGGTTCGCACACTCCCCTCGCCTTCGGCGCGCTACTCTCCCCCGCAGCGCGACACTCTAGCCCGCAGCTTACGTTGTTCTTCGCGCCGTCCTGCAAGCCCGAGTCGTTGCGCCACGTCACCCTGGTTTTCGCAGGATCCAACGGCCCGGATCGCTGACCCTCGAAGAACAAAATCGCCTTCGCGAGCGCGTCTGCATAATCCGGATCACCGGGCGCCGCGGACGCGACGGAGGCGTGAAGAGTTAAACTTAAGGCGGAACTGAGGAGGATTACAAGTGCCGTGGAGGGTAACGCGAGATTGGCGAAAAAGCGGGGCTTTTTGCGAAGCCGACGAGGTAGCGGAGGCCCCATTGCGGTTACTTTATCAAGAGCGATGTTACAGAGAGGGGGCACTGGTCGATGAGAGCATGTTAGAGTTGAATATGGACGGTGATAAGGTGAGCTAGTAAACGGCGCGAGAATGTGTCTCACGCGACGAAGCGAGGGAGTATGGATACGGTGGTGAGACGGAGTTGATAAATGGGTGGTGGAATGGGGTGCTAGTTGAGGGAAGCCAGTGGCGGGGCGGAAGTAAGTTAGGCGACACGGACGCAGGAGTAACGGCGACGCCTTTCCAAGTATGGAAGAAACGACGGCGATGTGGGAGGGCTCCGCGTCCGCACCCGTCCGACAAGATCGAAACGGATCACGCAAGGAAGAAGTGGGGGAAACGAATTGATGAGGGAAAAGAGGTCGGGACAGAAAAAGTTTGTTGGCGTGTCGCGCGCTCTTTCTGGTCTGGTTTGGTCCGGTTTAGGTTCGAAATTTTCAAGGGCGAGCATTTAGCGCTGGGATTGGTTGGAGATTGATTTGGCCTGGTTCGGGATGCGGAGGAACCAGGGAGGTGAAAATCAACGTGGGAGATTGACGGGAAAAAATCAAGGTAGGAGAAGGCTGACATCGAGGTTGGTTTCAAGGGGAGAGTTGATAGGGGGATTTGACGCATATCAAGGGGAATTGTGCCCCCCTCCTCCACTTCACGGGGATCTGGCTTGCTCGCGGAAATAAGGCTTGGTACGATCTAGAGCGGTCTATTTGGCGCTAGAATGGCTGGGAACGATATAGTCACGACGTATTTTTTGGACCCGCCCTAAGGCGGAGCTTCAGCTTCGTTCGCAGCCAAGGCGTGGGCCGTGTGCCTGACGTGAATCAGTTCGCCTCGCCACAGAACTGGTCATAACTGGGGAAGGTGGCGGCGGCGACGGCGTAAAATTGTGTCGAGCGATGTCGTTCGGGCGGGAAGGGGAAACAAGGCATCTGACCGACAATTTCAAACTTGAGAACAGCCTGGCACATCTGCAACGCCCGCAACAAAATCATTTTCGTTTCTCCTGCTTGATGTGGAAGCCCTGCCCTGACTTGAAGGCTGGCGGCGATGCTGTTGAATCTCGTACGAACATGGCGAGTGGAGGTTGGTGTAGCCAAGTGGACCAAACATTGATTGATAAAATAAATTTCATGTTCTGTGTGGGGTATGATGATTTATCTTATTGTTTAAATGGTTTTATTCTTCATTATTTTGGAAGCTTGAATTCTAGCATACTGAAAAAAATTCTTGGTGATTTTAATTCTCATAGTTCTTGAGGGGCTCTATGACAAACTTGCTTGTAGGAACACATATAGCTATGTCCATTCAATGTAAAATGCTTACCGAGGACGCATAAAAAGCCCCTTTGGTCAGCATCTTCCATTCAGGACCACGTCAGCTGAATGGCTGGAATTACCCCTTCTCGTACTGGCCCACGTGGCGGATTTGGCCCCAGCTATCACCAGACTGGCCAGTACTGTAACAGGGTAGTTGGTCACACTGATCACACCGCACACACATCCTGCAGGTGCACGCATTGAAACGACACACGATTCGGATTGCTTCTCCGTCATGCACGCGCACACCTCCACCACTTCTGATTTCCAGCCTCCACGCTTGTGACGACCAGTAGCGTAAAGAAGCAGCGAATTCGTTCCCTCTTAGAGCTTGGATTTATTTGTGGTAGCTTCTGCTCGTTATACGACGGAACTCGTGCGAATTCCGACCCACTGCGTGACAACATCGCCAGTCGCTTAATTCGCCAACTCAATACGGACCATGGCGAGCCTTGCCGCTGGTGAGTTGCAGAAAGACGGCGCTTGATGAAATCTGAGCTCGTCGGGAACATAAGGGTTATAATCTGTCCCATTTTGACCAATAGATAGGAAGAAGACGGCCCGCATTGATGAGCAGCAAACGGCGAAAACCAATTTCCAAACATTCAGTAGGATTTATCTCTCCACGGGGAGAAAGAGTCCAGTGTTTGAGGAATAACATGAACATCAACCTTTTCTCTTGGTGCCTCCTTCCTTCCCTCCTTCCTCCCCCTCACCCTCCCCTTCTCTCTCTCCTCCTCCTCTTCCTTCCCTCCCTCTTTTCCTTACAATCCCCATTCTCTCTCCTTCCTTCATCTCTCGTTCCACACGCCATTGTACAGCACCCCATGTCATCGTCGCAGCAGCACCTTCCCTTTCCGCCTCCTCCCCCGCTCGCTCCCTCTCCTCCTCCGCCCGCGACGCATCCTTTCCCGGCACGCGCCTGCGCACGACTCCGCGGAGATCAGCAGCAGCAGCGGGGGGCGCGGCCGTGTCCGTGCGCGCGCACACGGACCCGGCGCAAGCAGCAGTGGACCGCGCAGCCTGCCCGCCCGTGAAGGCGGAAGTGCCACTTAGCGCGCTCGATGCGGTCGACCTCCGCGTGGGTGTCATTGTACGTTCCGCCAAAATGCCCCGTCTTTCAGCCGCATCAGCCCTTCATTCCGCCCTTTCCCCCTTCTACCCCACGCCTCCTTCCCATCCTCCGCCCGCCTCCCGCAGCCATCCCACACGTTGCCCGTCGTTCTCTCCTCTCCCGTTCCTTTTATGAAATCGTTCCTTCCTTCTCCGTTGGTCATGTACTCAAATCGCTCATCGCCAGCGCGCCTCTCGTGGTCATTCCACCTCGCATTGCACCTTCTACGACCTCCCATCCACCAACCCAAAACATGCGTCGCATCAAATTTCATCACGAGAGCCCTTCCTGCCTCCTCTCCTCTAACCCCAACTCATTTTCCTTCCATCTGCTTTCATTCCATCGGCTTCCATTCCATCTCCTTCCATCTCCCTCCATCTCCCTCCATCTACTTTTTCTACACGCACACCACGTCCGCTGTGTGACTGTGTCTGTCGGCCAGGTGGACGCCAAGACGGTACCAGACGCAGAGATGACCGCTAAGAGGGGCAAGCCAACTGACAGCCGCACACTGTTGCAGGTCAAGGTAAGTCACTTCTGCAGGGCTGCAGAGGGGACCTGGGATGTGGGGCAAGGAGAGGAATCCCACATCCATGATGGTGCGCTTTTTCTTCGTGGCCTGACCAGCATCACGAGCACCACCATCGTCACCATCACCAACATCATCACCAGCATCACAATCATCACCGTCACCACACCATCACCGCCATCACCACCATCACCAGCATCACCACCACCACCACCATCACCATCACCACCACCATCACCACCATCGCCACCAGCATCACGATCATTCACCAGCTTCACATCCGTAATGAAACGCTAACCTGCTGAGTCTCCCCTCATAGTTGCCTCGCCGGCTCCCAGCAGGTGGACGTGTGGGGAGAAGAACAAGTGGTGGTGTCCTTGTGTCGGTACGTGATGGACGTGGAGGACGCCGTGGGCAAGAAGGTGCTCATTGTCGTCAACTTCTGAGTTGACTCAAAAGTCCCCCGTCATTGTTGCCCTACCTGTGCCTGGCAGGTGGATGTGGGCGGAGAGGAGCGAGTGGTGGTGTCCCCGTGCCGGTACGTGATGGACGTGGAGGATGCGGTGGGCAAGAAGGTGCCTAAACGGCTGAGAATCCCCCTCATTGTTTCCTCACCTGCACCTTCCAGGTGGATGTGGGTGGAGAGGAGCGAGTGGTGGTGTCCCCGTGCCGTTACGTGATGGACGTGGAGGACGCCGTGGGCAAGAAGGTGCTCATTGTCGTCAACGTGCCTCCCACTGAGATCAGCGGCATCCGGAGCCACGGTGAGTCGGTGGTGCTGTGTGGTCTCTTGTGAGGAGGTGTTGGTGGGACCGGCAGTGGCAGGGTGGCACAGGTAATGGCAGGATGGCAATGGTGATGACAAAGTGGCGGCGGTGGCTATTGCAGGGGCGGGAGTACACAGCATGAGCATCTTGTGCTTGTATCTGGCCGGTCTACACTCATCTTGGTTTTTCACTTGGCCTCGTAGCCTCACTGCCTTCCATCTTATTTGTTTCATAAACCCCATTTGCAGGTGTTATCCTGACAGGCTTCAACTATGATCCCACGCCCATGCCCCGTAGCTTTAAGGTCATCTTACCTGGCTTGGGTCGGTTGCCACCTGGTTCCCAGGTCCTGCCTGTGGCCGTTCCAAGGTAGCGCTTATTGTTGTATACCAGTGGTGTTTTGTAGACGCTTATGAAATGTGAGGCAACATTGCAGTAGTTTGCTGCCATGTGCTGCTTTTTTAGCTTGTGTGATGAGTTTCCGTCTGTTGCTTGAGTAACGTACTAACAGAAACTTGGAACTGGCACTGTTCTGGCAAGCAAGATTGAGTGTTGTTGCATTCGTTTAGCCAAAACTAATCGCTGTAGCACAACTATGAATGGATTGTGTAGACTTGATACAATGTCTACTTATTTGCAACATTGTACTTATAACGAGCAGAACCTCCGCGGTCTCGTCAGGATGACGAGATGATCCGCTCGCCTGCATCCTCCGCCATCCCCTTTTCTCGGGCTCCCCCTCTCCGCACTGCTCTGCTCTGCGCTGCTGGACACAGCAACCCCCCCTTCCTCCCAGCCCCCAATTCGTATTTCCCGCCCGCTGCGTCGCGCCCGCTCCGAGCTCCCTCCCCAGCCGCCTTGCCCCCAAGCTGCATGCTTTTGCGGTCAATTCGAACTGCGATCCAATCTTTCCAGTGCGTGTTTGCGAATGCAATCTTTTTGGGCAGAACCACGCGGCTGCCCGTGTTTAGGGTTGGGGCTCCCCGTGTTTAGGGTTGGGGCTCCCCTAATCGCATGCCATCCAGATGGGTTTTTTTTTTTTCTGACTGCGGGCAAACAACGACCCCTCAGCTTCTCCCACTGGGATCGCATTTGCGAACCGCGCTGGCTAAATTGGATTGCAGCTGAAGTTGTCCCATGCTTTTGTGATTGCATGGGATCTACCGCCATTTCCTCCCGTCTCCTCTCGTCTGACACAAGTCCCGCTCGTGTCCCATTGTCCCCAGCCCCTACCCCCGAGTGCTGTTTCAGCCCGATCCGACACCTCGTTTTCATTTTGCTAAACTAGGTCCTCGGTTTTAGATCGACTCGAGGCGCGAAGATCTACCCCGTCTATCAGGATATAAGGTGGACTACTATTGTGTTTGGATCGGAAGAGATCACGTGCAATCGATCCGGATTTATATGCGCTCTTTTATCATCTGCGGCCGCTTCGAGGGACCGTCTTAGCCGGCCATCTCTGCTGTTTGAAAATTTAAGACGATCCCGATAATAAAGGAGACATAGTATTTTGGAGAATGAGCGGCAGCGAGAGAACGGCCGTGGCGACGGCCACAAGCGGCGTAGTTAAGGAGGAGGAGAAGCCATCAGTGTTGAAAGCGAGTGCGAAGCCCAGCGACAGGGAGGCCAACGGGGCGATCGGCGACGTCAAGCGACCAGGCGACGACGCTGTGCCACAGGATGACGACGTGGTGGAGCAGCCGAAAGAGAGTGACGATCGTGAACCGACACCGCTTGATACGGTGTGAAGCGGGGGTGGGAGTGTACGATGATATGCGAATGGGTTTCTCGAATAATTATGCGGTAGGGAGATTCGTAGAGAACCTAGCGCGATGGTCGGGACGGTTGTAGGGTGTGGTGGAGGATAGTAAAGGTAAAGGAGAAAGTCCGAGAGTGAGGGAGGAAGAGATGAGAAGGGAAAACAGCGGATATTGCATTGCGTGGTGACGGAACGTTGTATCCTGCCGAGAACGCACAGGTGAAGTGCACGTGTAAGGAAGAAAAACGGAAGTACTAATCGAGATTCACATACCAGCTCGTGTGGTAGTGTTGTGCTATCATAGCATAGCACTGATCACCACGAATGGTCACAATCCGTCACGCTCAGCGAGACGGCGTACACACAGCACTGGTCAGAAACCGTCACCTCCTGTTCGTATTCCATAGCTGTCTCTCTTACGCGTCCCGTCGCTTCTCTCAATCTCCTCGTCCCGCCCTGCGCGTCCACTTCCCCGCCGTTCCCCACCCCCCCGGCTCACCCGCACAGGACGACGCAGGTGAAGACGATCCGATAGTGCCCGACCCGTTAATCACAACGGACATGCTGGCGGAGCAGCGGCAGCTGGAGGCGGAGCGGAAGCAGCGGGAGGAGCAGCAGGACGCGGAGAGCGAGGAGCGCGTGAGGCGCGAGGGCGTGGAGTCGTCCGCGCTAACGAAGCTGGACGTGCTTCTAGAGAAGACGAAGCTGTTTTCCGAGTCGCTGCTGCAGCAGATGGACGATATCACTCTGCTGGTGGGTGGTGGGGAAGGGAGGGAAGGGGGGAGGGAGAGTTAGAGTGAGAGAACATGGTGTCGCAGAGGGAGCAAGGATAAGGACGTTGGTGCTGCTGCTTTGTATGGATGATATCACGCTGCTGGTGTGGGGGAAGGGAAGGAGAGAGGGAGGGAGGGTGGGATACAGAGGGAAGGAAAGGAGGGAGTGTACAAAATAGAAAGAGTGGACGTGTCGTGGCTCGTACTTTATGAGTCAGTGGTTGGGAGAGTGGGTGCGTGAGTGCAAATGTGGGAGATAGAGAGGTGTTGTGTGTTCATGGTAGTATGAAGGGTAGAAGGACAAAGTCCTTGGTGCTGCTGCTCTGTATACCTTTCCACTCCTACTCTTCTCTCTCCTGTTCCTTGGCTCTTCTCTTAGCCTTCCTTTGCCCACCGCACCCTCGTCCCTGCTGTGGCAGGCACGGTATACCCATCACACATTTCCCTTACTCTCTCCCTCTTCCTTCCCTTGTTTCTTGAACTTCCCATCGTCCGCCCTCTCTCTCTCTCCATCCGCGCTCCCGTCCTCTTCTACTCTCTCGCTGACACACCTCCCCCTCTGCCTCCTTCCTCCTCTGCTGTCTCCTCCCTCATTCACCTTCTCCCGGTCCCTGCCCACCACAGCCTGCCCCTACACCCCCACCACAAGCAGACTCCAAGAAACGCAAGCAGGGAGGCACAGGCAGAGGAAGGGGGGTGAGTGAGTGGGTGATGTGATGGGTGGTGGATGCTGGCTGGATGGTGGGTGGGTGGGTGATTGTGCAGTTGTGGTCCCAGTTTTTTTTTCCTGCACATCATCCTGTGCGTCTTTTCTATGCTCTTTCCTTACCACTTCTTCTCGTTCTGAGACGTTTCTTTCCTCCTCCCTCATCCCACCCATGCTCATACTCCACTCTTCCTCTCGGCGTCATTCTCAGCGGAAGAAGAACAAGACCGACGCCCCAGAGGAAACCCTCCAAGAGAAGATCTCAGCCGCTCCTTCCGCAGCAATCAACGGCAGCGGTGACGCCGGCACCGGCACCGGCACAGCAAGCAGCAAAGAAGAGGAAGAGGCCGCACTGCTACGAGAGCAGCGGGAAATTGCGCCAAACCTCACGGGATGCACGCTCAAGTGGTATCAGATCAAGGGCGTGAAGTGGCTGATCTCGCTCTGGCAGAACGGGCTGAACGGCATTCTCGCGGACCAGATGGGCCTGGGGAAGACGGTGCAGACGATTGCGTTTCTGGCGCATCTCATGAGTCATGGGATCTTCGGGCCGTTTCTGGTGGTGGCGCCGCTGTCAACTCTGTCTAACTGGGTCAACGAGGTCAAGAGGTGGGTGGAGAGGAGGAATGTTGACTCGGCATTAGAAAACATGTTTGGCGCACCTCATGAGTCATGGGATCTTTGGGCCGTTTCTGGTGGTGGTGTCGCTTTCGACGCTGTCTAACTCGGTCAACGAGGTCAAGAGGTGGGTGGAGAGGAGGAATGTTGACTCGGCATTAGAAAACATGTTTGGCGCACCTCATGAGTCATGGGATCTTTGGGCCGTTTCTGGTGGTGGTGTCGCTTTCGACGCTGTCTAACTCGGTCAACGAGGTCAAGAGGTGGGTGGAGAGGAGGAATGTTGACTCGGCATTAGAAAACATGTTTGGCGCACCTCATGAGTCATGGGATCTTTGGGCCGTTTCTGGTGGTGGTGTCGCTTTCGACGCTGTCTAACTCGGTCAACGAGGTCAAGAGGTGGGTGGAGAGGAGGAATGTTGACTCGGCATTAGAAAACATGTTTGGCGCACCTCATGAGTCATGGGATCTTTGGGCCGTTTCTGGTGGTGGTGTCGCTTTCGACGCTGTCTAACTCGGTCAACGAGGTCAAGAGGTGGGTGGAGAGGAGGAATGTTGACTCGGCATTAGAAAACATGTTTGGCGCACCTCATGAGTCATGGGATCTTTGGGCCGTTTCTGGTGGTGGTGTCGCTTTCGACGCTGTCTAACTCGGTCAACGAGGTCAAGAGGTGGGTGGAGAGGAAACAATGGGGAGGTGAGGTGGGCGGGGGGGAGGAGGGCGCTGTGTAAGGAGAGGAGGAGAGGGGGAGGGGGAGGTAAAAATGGTGTTGATGAGGAGGCGTGAGGTGCTGTGCGCTGTCTGTCACCCTTCCCCCTCCAACCCCCCCCCCTCTCGTTTCACTCTTGACCTTAAACATCTCTCCATGCTAACACCCATGGCAGGTTTGTGCCTACAGCGAACGTGCTTCTATACCATGGACCCAAGGACGTGCGGGCAGAGCTGCGGGAGAAGCACATGCCACGGCAGGTACAAGGGGGGAAGGTGGATGGCCGTGGCCTTGGCAGGGCATGGCATGAGCAGATGCTTAAGGTGTTGATTGAGTGGCTCAACTTGAAATCCGGCAGGGTGCTTTTGAGCAAGCACATGCCAAGGGATGGTGGTTGGGGAGGGGATGGGGTGAGCTGGAATGGGGAATTGTGGAGGGAGATGAGAGCTTGATTGTTACGGAATCTGAAGCTTTGGTGCGAATGCAACAAATTAATCCAGCCTGGACTCCTCTCTCCTCTCCGTTTCCTTCGCCACCCCCCACCCCATCTCCCTCTCTCAGTCCCCTTCCCCCATTTCTGTCCACATCTTCGACCCACATCCCTCCTCATCCCCCTCTTCATCCCCTGTTCTATCTCCCTCCCCAACCTTCCCCCATCCGGTTCCCCACTCCCCTCCCCACGTTCCCGATAGGTGCGGGAGGGCTTTCCGAAAGTATTGACGTTATTTGAGGTGGCTAGGTTTGACCGCTGTGCTGCATGGCTAGGCATGAGATTTCTCAAAAGTCCCCCCAACGCACTCACCTCCCCCCCCTCCCTCCCTCCCTCCCTCCCTCCCTCCCTCCCTCCCTCCCTCCCTCCCTCCCTCCCTCCCTCCCTCCCTCCCTCCCTCCCGCATCTGCCTCCCCACGTCCCTGGGGACAGGTGCGGGAGGGCTTTCCGATAATAGTGACGTCGTTTGAGGTGGCCATGTTTGACCGCCGCCAGCTGCAGCGCTACCACTGGAAGTACATTGTTGTGGACGAGGTGCGGTGGGGGTTTGGGCACTGGTGTGGGCTTTGGTGTGGGCGTGGGCATGGGGCTCGGCCTGGTTGTAGTGAGCGTTGGCTGTGGTAGGTGCTTAGCTGTTGTTTGACCGCCGCCAGCTGCAGCGCTACCACTGGAAGTACATCGTTGTGGACGAGGTGTGTGGGGCGTGGGTCTGTGTGTGTGCGGGTGGGTGTGGGGATGGGCATGGGGTCGGTGGTTGTTTAGCTGTCGCTTGGTTGTGCCAGCCAGCTGCAGAGCTACCACACTGTGGACGAGGTGCGGCGTGGGTATTTGCGTAAGCATGGGCGTGGGCATGGGCATGGGCATGGGCATGGGCATGGGCATGGGCATGGGCATGGGCATGGGCATGAGCATGCTTTGGTGGCTGGTTCTATTGCGTCCCAAATTCCAGCTCATACGCCCCAAGCCCCCCCTCAGAACAGTCCATCCCACATGCGCGCCGCCCCACCTTTCCCTCAACAACCCTTCTCCCGTCAGGGCCATCGCCTGATGAACATGTACTGCCGGCTGATTCGGCAGCTGCCAGCAGAGAACACGCTGCTGCTGTCATGTTGTTCATGCTGAAAACACCCCACCCTCTCGACTCTACCACCCATCAGGGCCACCGGCTGAAGAACATGCACTGCCGGTTGATCCGGGAGCTGCGGCAGCTGCCAGCAGAGAACACGCTGCTGCTGTCCGGCACGCCCCTGCAGAACAACCTGCAGGAGCTCTGGTCGCTGCTCAACTTCATCCTCCCAGCCATCTTCTCGGATCTCCATGAGTTCACCTCCTGGTACGTTGCTGGTATGCTGCTGGCCTCCTGGGCGTGTTTTTTGAGTCGTCTCACAAGTCAACCTGCAGGAGCTCTGGCGCTGCTCAACTTCATCCTCCCAGCCGTCTTCTCAGATCTTCACGAGTTCACCTCCTGGTACGTGCGTGCGTGCACGCGTGTGCGTGAGTATGCGAGTGCGAGCGTGAGGATGCGCGCGCGTGCGTGAGTATGCGAGTGCGTGTGTGTTCGTGTGTGTGTGACTGCGAGCATGCATGAATTAGCCAGGGCTCATACTCCCATCAGCAGGAGCTCTGGCGCTGCTCAACTTCATCCTCCCAGCCGTCTTCTCAGATCTCCATAAGTTCACCTCCTGGTATGCTGCCTACCTTCTTGACGTTTGTGTGGATGGGTGTGTGGGGAGGTGTCCATGCGGGTGTGTTAGTGGGCGCGTGTGATGCGTGTGCGTGAGTGTGCGTGCGTGTGCGTGCGTGTGCATATCTGCGCGTCCGCATGCATGCATTCGTACAGGGCTTGTACTCACACCTGCTGCTTCATTCGTTCTTCTCACCCCGCCCTCTCTCCCCGCCTTTCGCTCCAACTTCGTTCTCTCCCCTCCTCCTCCAACCCATGCACCCCAGGTTTGACTTGGCAGGGCGGCAAAGTGGCGGGGTGGTGTTTGACAACGAGAGAAGGTCACAGGTGGGTGGGTGGGTGGGTGGGCCTTATTTACTTTCCGGACGTCTCGGAAATGGTATTTGACTTGACTGTGCGAAGTGGTCAGAGGGAGGTTCGGTTGGGGACGTTCTTAAAATTGTGTATTGGGGAGGAACAATGAACACATTGTTCTTGACAACGTTGCTGGTATCTTTTTTGTCTCTTTGTGTGATGCGTGTGGGTGTTGCGCTGTTTGCCACAGCCTGTGTTTTTTGAGAATTCTCAAAAAATACGTAGTGCCACAGCCTAGGTACGAGCTGTCGTCACCAACCCACCCCTTTTCCACCACTCCTCTTCCACCACTCCTCTTCCACCACTCCTCTTCCACCACTCCTCTTCCACCACCCCTCTTTCACCCCTCCTCTTCCACCCCACCCACCTCTCCTTTCCTTATTCGACTCAACAGTCTCATCTGTGTCTCTTCCACCGCACCCTGCCCACCCTGCCCACCCTGCCCACCCTGCCCACCCTGCCCGCCCTGGTGTTGAAACTTCACCAGATCATGCTTCCCTTCCTGCTCGTTTCCTTGGTTGACTTTTCAAATCTCATCAATGTCTCGTCCATCCTGCCCTGCCCTGCCTTCTCATCCTGCCTGCCTGTCAGGTGGTGGCGAAGCTGCATCAGATCCTGCGACCCTTTTTGCTGCGGCGGATCAAGGCGGACGTGGAGCAGTCACTGCCCAAGAAGAAAGAGGTCGTTCTTTACGCACAGGTACGATGCCTGGGTTGGGTGGATTGGCATTTGAGGCGCCTCAGTGTACGCGCTCTTTTGAGTTTTGGGTTCACTGGGCGCATTGCATGCAGGCAGGGTGTCGTCTGAGAATTGTCGCAAATGCATCAGCACACGCAGGCTCCATGGTTGCACGTTCCCTCCTTCCCTCCGTCGCTCCCTCCCTCCCTCCCTCGCACTCCTCCCCGTTTCATTGCTTAAGAATCTCCCCGGTGTTCCCCACCTCACACATTGCACTGTGCTGTGTGCGTGCGCGTGCATGTGAGTGTGCGGGTGCGTGGCTCTGTGCATGTGCCTGTGTATGTGCCTGTGCCTGTGCATGTGCATGTGCATGTGCATGTGCATGTGCCTGTGCCTGTGCATGTGCATGTGCATGTGCATGTGCCTGTGCCTGTGCATGTGCATGTGCATGTGCATGTGTGTGCATGTGAGCAGCTGACAGAACACCAGAGGGAGTTCCAGGACCATCTAGTGCAGCGCACTCTAGCAGACTTTCTCAACTCCACCGTCGCCACCTGTACTGCCCCTCCCCTCATGCCCTTCATGCCGCTTACTTTTGAGGCGCCTCAGAAGTAGATCCCTCATGCCCTTCACGCTGCTTTGCAACCCACTCACCCAACCCCACCTTCTCTCGTGTGGTCTTTCCCTCTCGCACATGCCCTCCTCTCTGCGCTCCCTCTCCATCCTTTTTTTGCATAGCTGTGGAGTTTGTTTCACAACTTCTTGCTCCCTCACCTCGCTCTCTTTCTCGTCAGGCCTTCTCAAACCAGCCTTGTCTGTCCTGCAGCCCCCCTCTCTCTCTCTCTTGTCCTCTTCACCGTTGTCCTGCCCCCTTTCCCCTCCCCCACCCTACCCTCAACCAACGCTCCTTCCTCAAAGCATGTTCTCATTGCCCATGCCATCTCATGCTCCTCCTGTGTGCCGTCCTTTCAAGTTCTGAGATCATATGCCGTTTGAGTCGACACAAAAGTCACCTTGAGATCAGATGCCTCAAATCAAGCGCCTCAAAAGTTCGAGCGCTCCATGCCGTCGTCCTTTCAAGAATGCTCAAAAACATGTTTGCTACACCATGCCAATGTTCCCACCTGGATTGGAACTATCCTCACCTCCCACCGCCTATGCCCCTCCTCTTCCCCTCCTCTTCCCCTCCTCTTCCCCACTTCCACCTCTCATTGCCCCTCCCCACCAGCCATGTCACGGCATCGACTCAACAACGTGGTGATGCAGCTGTGCAAGAACTGCAACCACCCGGACCCTTGAAGCTCCTCAGTAACCTTTTGAGGCGCCTCAGTTACCTACTCGCGCTTCCAATTCCCCTCACCTCCACTCCCCGGTCATGTCTTCCCCACCACCCCCACCTTCGCCCCCCTCGCCCACCACCAGCCATGTCGCGGCATCGACTCAACAACGTGGTCATGCAGCTGCGCAAGAACTGCAACCACCCGGACCTCCTCTCCTCGCAGTTTGACGGCTCCTGTGCGTCTCCCTTCCTTCCCTCCCTCCTTTTGCTCCCTCCCTCCGTACCTCCTCTGGTCCTCCCTCCTTCCCTCTTCCCCTCCTCCCCTCGTCCCCTCCACTCCTCCTCCCCTCCACTCCTCCTCCCGCTCTTCCCTCCTCCCTTCCTTCCCTCCCTCTCTCCTTCCGTCCTTCCCACCCCACACTCTACCAACATCTCATTCTGTACTGCTGCACTTGTTAGTTAGTTCTGAGAATCTTGAGGGCATCACAAAACTGGTCGTTATTCCACTTGTTGCTTCGCTGCACTCTTGTTCTTGCCTGGCTTCTCCCAAGTGTTTTTTGCTTCCACGTGCATGTACAACAGATATCCTTTCCTCTTTTTTCTCTTCCCTTTTTTTTTTTTCTTTTGTTTTTTGTAGAGGCCAGCTTGGCATACCAACCCCACAACTCCATCCTTACCCCTCTGACATGTACCCGCCTGTAGAGGAGATGGTGGCACAATGCGGCAAAGTGGAGCTACGTCATGAGTCGACTAAGCAATCCCCCCCCCCTCCCCCTCCACACACACTTGCTAACATGCACACACACAACCCCCAGACGTGTACCCGCCTGTAGAGGAGATGGTGGCACAGTGCGGCAAACTGAAGCTGCTAGACCGCTTGCTGCCCCAACTCAAGGCCAAAGGGCACAAGGTAAAGGGGAAAAGGGGGAGGAGCAGGAGTGAGCATGAGGGAGGAGAGTGGGGAGGCGAGGTGAAAGTGGGAAGAGTGGGGAAAGATTGGCCGGGGGGGGGGGTGGAGCAGGGGCGGAGGAGGACCAGGTAGAATGGATGGTGCGTGATGGGGTAGGGATGGAAAGGAGAGATGGGGCATGGAGAGACGAGAAGGGAGCCTTTTGTTTCTTCAATGCAGGCTTGATTACGCCTGCCCGTTGATGCCTTTCAACCAATCCTTTACCACGTAACATAACAGAGTCCGTATGGAACTGAGTCGCGTCACAACTTCTTTCTCTGCTTCTGTGGTGTTGCCATCCACCCCCCCAGGTGCTCATCTTCTCACAGATGACGCGTCTGCTGGACATACTGGACTACTACCTAGAGAATCAAATTGCACCACTCCCGCCTCACAATCCGCTTCCTGCCTGTATGGTGGTGCCTCCCCCCGCCCCCCTCTTCACCCCAGGTGCTCATCTTCTCCCAGATGACGCGTCTGCTGGACATACTGGATTACTATCTGGGGGAGCAGATTGCACCGCCTCTCAATCCGTTTCCCACATGTGTTCTGTGCTGTGGTGCTGCCCCCCTCTCCCCTCCCCCCAGGTGCTCATCTTCTCCCAAATGACGCGTCTGCTGGACATACTGGACTACTATCTGGAGGAGCGGGGGCACCACCCCTTCCGCCTCGATGGATCCGTCAAACTTGACAACCGCCGGCAGCAGGTGGGAGAGCAACAAGAGAGGTGGTTGGGGGGGGGGATTGGTGATTGGATGGTGGAAATGGGAGGAAATGGGAAATGGCATCTTGAATCTACTCAAAACGCGCCTCCACAGCCAGTAGCAGCATTAGGAAAAGAGTTCGTCGTGACGGGAGTAGACATGTTTCAATTCGACTTACAATACGCGTCAACGACCTGTGTGGTGATCCCTCCCCTCCCCTCCCCTCACCTTCCCTTTCCACCCCCCTCCACTTCCCTCCTCTCCCCCCCATCCCCATGAGGACGGCGGCAGATTGAGGAGTTCAACACGAGTCCAGAGGCGTTCATATTTTCCAGCCACAGTTCTCTCCATCCCGCTTCACCCCTCTCCACCCATCTCCACCCGCTCCCATCCCCCTGCATCACCCTTCTTTCCCCGGGTGCGGCGGTGGCAGATAGAAGAGTTCAACACGAGTCCAGAGGCGTTCATATTCCTGCTCAGCACGCGGGCAGGCGGGCTGGGTATTAACCTCACAGCAGCGGACACCGTTATCATCTACGACTCAGACTGGGTGAGCTGGTGGAACCGATTTTCCCACACGCCTCACACAGTGCGGTCTTTTAAGCAGTTCCTAATTTGGCTGGGAATTGACCTCACAGCAGCCAACACCGTTATCACCTATGTCTCTGACTGGGTGAGTCTCCACACAGGCCATTCACCTTCGTCACTGCTATCTCCTCCCGCTCATACTCCTCATACTTCCCTTCCTGCCTTTCCTGCCTTTCCTCCCCCCTCCTCCTCTTCCCCCCCTCAGAACCCCCACCACCGCTGTCACTACTGGCTCCTTTCCCTCTCTCACGCTCAACCCTGCCTCCGCTGTCTCCCCCCTGTCGTCCCTCTGTCTCCCCTCCGTCCCCCTTCCCCCTCCCCCAGAACCCCCACCAGGACATGCAGGCCATGGGTCGCTGCTGCAGTGGTTGCTCCTGCTCATATTCCTCCCATCTGCCCACCCTACGCTCCCTCTCCCCGTCACCCCCCTACACATCCCAGAACCCCCACCAGGACATGCAGGCCATGGACCGCTGTCACCGGATAGGGCAGACGCGCCCTGTGCATGTGTACCGCCTCGCCACTGCTCACTCCGTGGAGGTACGAGGGTGATGGCGGCTTGGGGGGGGGGGGGGGGGGGTAAGAGGGCATGCGCTGCAGGATGAGAGGTGAGGAGGAGTCATGGAAGGTGCAGTGCAGACGCATTCTGTGAACGTGTACCACCTTGCCACTGCCCACTCCATGGAGGTGAGGGGGAGCAGGTTACAGGGTGGCAGAGGGGGATTATGAATGGGTGAAATGCAGGATGAGAGGCGTGGAAGGGTCGTGAAAGGTGCAGACGCGCCCCCAGCACGTATACCACTGTCTTGCTACTGCCCACTACATGGAGGTAAGGGGGTACGGAGCCAGTGGGGGGGGGGAGAGTGGGATGTAGAGGGGATGTAGAGGGGTTGTAGAGGGATATAAAGGGGACAGGGAGCAGCAGAAGGGAGGGCAGTGGATTTGAGGCAGAAGAGAGTATTGGTGGATTTGGAGGATGAAAGCGAGGAAGAGGCGGATGTGGAAGAGATGAAACGTGAAAGGAGATTTTGTCTCTTTGTCATTTCACCTCTTCCGCATCCGCCTCTTTCTCGCTTTCATCCTCCAAATCCACCATTACTCTCTTCTGCTTCAAATCCACTGCCCCCTCACGCTGCACTGGCTCTCAGCAGATTCACAACACACGCATCTCCGCCTCCCCTTCCCCGCTTCCCTCCCCCTTTCCCCTCCCCCTTCCTCCCCCCATCTCCATTCAGTGCCGGATGTTGAATGTGGCGTGGGGCAAGTTGAACGTGGAGCATTTGGCGCTTGAGTTGTGCTTTAAGTCTACCCACAACGCATCCCTCTCTTCCTCCCGCTCTTCCTCGCTGTCCTCCCCTCCTCCAATCAGTGCCGGGTGTTGGATGTGGCGCGGGGCAAGTTGAAGCTGGAGCATCTGGTGATTGAGAAGGGGCAGTTCCAACAAGACAAGGCTGCGCCTGCCAAAACCAAGATCGATGTGAGCAAGATGGGGGAGGAAGTGGGGAGAGGGGAGGGGAAAGAGTCTTTTTGAGTCGACTCACAAATGGAGCATCTGGTGATTGAGAAGGGGCAGTTTCAACAAGACAAGGCTGCTCCTGCCTAAACCAAGATCAACGTGAGCGAGCGGAGGAATGGGAGGGGAGGGAGGGGATTGTGGAGGTCGGGCGAGAGGGGGTAAAGGGGGAAGATGGGGGTAGGGGGGTTATGAACGGATGTTTTGTGTGATAGGGAGAATCGCTGGTGTCTTTTGAGGCATAAGGGGACCAGTTGTGGATACATGGCGAGGTATTTGTGGATGCGTGTTTGTGATGCGGTGTTTTTTTTCCCTCCCAACTCCCTCCCTCTTCCCACCCACTCCCCACCTTCCTCTTCACATCCCTCACCTTCCCCTTTCTGGAGTCTTCCAATGCCATACATGCGCGCACACCCACACACACACCTGTTCCCACCTCCTCGTTGAGTAAAATGGTCTAGGAAATGTGAAGTCACCGTCCTTCACCTGTGGCCTGCCGCTCCTCCCACACCCCACCCCATCGCCCCCTTCGCCCCCCATGCACAGGAGGCGGAGGTGCTGTCACTGCTGCGTCCGGAGCGCTCGCAGCACGATGAGCTGGTGCAGTCCGCAGAAATCAGCGATGAGAATCTCGACCTCTTGCTCGATCGCTCCGACCTCCTTCTCCCCCAACCCACCCCTCCTCCTCTTGCTGCTGCTCCTGCTGCTGACACAACTCCTGCTGCTGCTGCTGGTGATGCTGCTGCGGCGAGTGACGGTGGAGGAGGGGAGAAGGTGCGATCGCTGCCCATTGCGGGGCCTGGATGGGAAGTGGTGGTTGCAGGGACAACAGCAAGCAGCGTGCTCTCTTCCATTGGGTGATTCTTTTACTCGGAAGCATGGTTTGGAATTTGGGTTCGGTTAGGGTGGTGGGACTGTGTGGAAGAGTGGGCCGCCTTGCAATATATGGTACTGTGCTGGGCGCAGCTAGGCAGGTCTGAGTATTTACGAAAAGGATTTCTTTCTTATTCCCGCCTCATTCATATGTTACATGTCTCAGGTATGTTGTGGCACTGTTGGGCAATTCCCGGTTTTAGTGGTATTAAGAGTTGCAATGCGGCTTGAAACAGCTTGCCACTTTTGATGGCACTAAAATAGGAACAAATCATTTCACAGCAAAGCTGAATGGACTTTATCTGTAATTGCACTGCACTGCACACGGGCCAGTACAGAAACAAGTTCAGATAATAGCAACCCAGGCAGGCATCATCATGCAGCATGCAGTGATAAGGGTACAAGATACGATGTATCGCAACACATGTAACATTTTATTTACCCAGAGAGCTGTCAAGAGCACATGCCTACAAGCACAATGCGGCTGCAGGGTGCTCAGAAAGCAACCTATACTTTCTGGCATTCCAGCAAGTGCAAGAGTACCAGTATAAGAGTCCTTTAGTTAGGATAAAAGATATGACCACCTACCTACCGTATCACAACACCATATGTACCCATCCCAACCCTCCCTCCTTTCACCACCGACCTTCCTGTGCCTTTTTATCCCAGTTTCGGTGCTCCCCCATAAAAGCTCCCAGTTGTTGCAGATATTAAGGCAGCCAAACCGCCCTCAAACTGCTTCCTGGGACGAGTCCTTGTGTATCATTGCACCCCGCTGCAGATCAGGAGGGTTATCAGTGACTAGTGGCTTTTCAGGAGGAGAGGCAGTGTGTATGGATGGTGCGAGCAAACGGGAGGCAAGTGGTAGGGAGGATGTGGGTTGGAGGTTAGATTGGAGCTGGAAAGGGGGTCTGTGGGAGAAAGCAGTGCAGTCAGGAGGGGTGGAATGCGGTGGTGTGGTGTGGTGTGGGCAGAGTTGGGATGCTGAGGAGAATGTCGAACAAAAGAATGGGTGACTGCTGAGAGAGGGTGGGGCGAAGAGGGGAGGATTGTGCAGATGCACACATGTGCATGTGCAGATGTGCAGATCTTTGAGACGCTTCAGAAATCATCTCAGGTGTGCAGATGTGCAGATGTGGGCATCTGAGAGGGAGAGGCTGAAGATCTGAGAGTGTTAGGATGTGAGTGTGAAGGTGTGTGACAGGACAAGGATAAGGACATAGAATTCATTCAGGGAGACGTGGGAGAGGTGGGAGAGGTGGGAAGTGGTTTATTGATTGTGGGTGCAGTGCAGTTGCATGGTGCACCGTTGGCAGATGTGGCTGCGCAGCAGGTTATATCCTGTCCTTGAGGCTTGAGCCATTCCTCCGCCACCGCTGCACCTGCAACTTCTTCTCCTGCTGCTGTTCCTGCTCCTGCTGCTGCTGCTGCTGCTGTTGACCTCCATCTCACAACCCTGGTAAGAGATTCTTATCCTCCCTTCCCTCCACACCCTTCCCTCCATCCCTCCATCCATCCCTCCATCCATCCCTCCCCTCCCCCCCCTCTTTTCCCCCCAAACAATCTGCGTGGCCTCACAGTATCGAGCAACCGCAACCAGTGGATTTCTCAGGGGCTACAGGCACCTGAATCTTGGTCCACTGCCCCTCTGCCGGCTGCTCTTCCCGGGTCCCGTGCCGTGACGCCACGCCCTGACTGCTGCTGCCATCCCCTCCCCTCCCGCCTCCTCCTCCTCCTCCCCCTCCACCCCCTCCTCCACCACCCCCTCCCCCTCCCCCTCCACCCCCCCCCCTCCTCCTCCTCCTCCTCCTCCACCTCCTCCTCCTCCTCCTCCTCCTCCTCCTGCTGGTGTTGTTCTGCCGTTAGGTCTGCCTGATCCTGTGGGTGCTGGCCGCATGGGTACTGTTGGACCGTCCGATCTGGAGCAGAGAGGGTGTTAGAAACAACAAGGTGATAGTGTGTTCAAAACAAGAGTGTGTTAGACAGGCAAAGAAATGGAGGGCGAGCTCATTTTACCTGGCCACATCCCACCTATCCTCATCCCACCTGACCTCATCCCACCTACCCTCATCTCATCTGAATCTCAGCAACGTCCTCAAGGGCAATACCCCTTCAACCCACATTCAACCCGCTCACCCTGATCCCACCCTACCCAACCCAACCACATTATACCCCAACCAACCCATCCCACCTCCCTCAAACTCAACCAACCCACCCCACCCCACCCATCCGCACCAGAATCTGAGCGACGCGCTGGAGACAATCGGGTTTGTCTCACTCCCCATCCCATCCCATTCCATCCCACCCGACCTATCTGCACCTGAATCTGAGTGACGCGCTGGAGGCAATGCTCTCAAGCGCCTTGACGATCAGGTTCGAAACGAGTTGGCTTTTGTGAATTCTAAAAAAAAAGACATACTGGAAGCAAATACCTCGAGGTTCTTAACACTCAGGTTTGTCCCACCCCACCCCCACCCCCTTTCCCACCCACCCATCCGTACCTGAATCTGAGCAATGCGCCCTGTTTGCCCTGTTTGCCTTGTTTGTCTTCAGCCCCTGTTTGTCTCAACCCCTGTTTGTCTCACCCCTGTTTGTCTCCCCCTCTGTTTGTCCCACCCCACCACTCGCCCCACCACACCCCACCACCGCACCTGAATCTGAGAGACGCGCTGGAGGCAATGCCTTCGAGCGTCCGCACAATCTCATCAAAGTCTGGCCGCACGTCAGGGTCCCTGTCCCAACACCGCGTGATGAGCTTCGTCAGCTGGCTCGGGCAGTCCTTTATGGGCGGCCGTAGGTCCTGCCATGCAGGGAGGTTGCGGACAGGGGGGGAGAGGGGGGTTCGTGGTACAGAGAACCAGGGTGCTTGCTTGTCCTAACACCCGCGTGACGAGCTTCGTCAGCTGGCTCGGGCAGTCCTTTATGGGCGGCCGTAGGTCCTGTCATGCAGGGGTGGAGGAGAGGTGGGGGAGAAGGAGAGGGAGAGAGGGGAGGGTGAGGAGGGGATAGAGAGCACAGGAGTGCTCGCTCGTCCCAACACCGTGTTATCAGCTTCGTCAGCTGGCTCGGGCAGTCCTTTATAGGCGGCCGTAGGTCCTGCCATGCAAAGTGGTGATTGGCGCAAGGGACGAAGGGAGAGGGTGGGGAGGGGGGGAGCGGAAAACGAGGAAAGTTGATGTGGAATAGAGGGCCGAGAAGAGGGATGGGTATTGGGTTGGGTTGGGTTGGGTTGGGTTGGGTTGGGTTGGGTTGGGTTGGGTTGGGTTGGGTTGGGTTGGGTGGATGCCAGAAGTGGGTCAGAATAGATTGTAAGTTTTACTTAAAATGTCTCACACAGGGGTAATTTCCCCATATCCCCAGAGTTGCATCAGGGGTAAAGAGCATAACTATCAGAGCGTCAGCCACAGCGGCAACAGCAGCAACAGCAGCAACAGCAGCAACAGCAGCAACAAGTCTACTCACATCAGCGACAATGGCGTGTGCGAGTTGCACAAAGGAGAGCCCTTCAAAAGGCCATTGAGCCGTGCAGATCTCCCACAGCACGATGCCATAGCTGTACACGTCCACCTTGCGCGTGTACGGCTTGTGGTCGATCATCTGTAGTGCAAGGGGCACGGGCACAAGGGGTTGGAAAACAGGAAGGGGGCTCAGAGGTGAGTCTCCCACAGCACGATGCTGTAGCCGTACACGTCCATCTTGAGCGTGTACAGCTTGTGGTCGATCATTTGATGGTGAAACGGGAAGGGAAATGGAGGAACAGATGCGTGTGCGAGGCAGGCTTCTGGAAACAGATCATCATGTGTGTGTGAGTTTCCAGGAAGTGTGTGTGAGGCAGGCCAGGTTCCTCTGTGATGATCACCATGGTGGGCCAGGCTCCTGTGCCTCTGTGTACCCAAGCTTAAAGCCCCTGAGGCATCCCAAACTCTCTCACTCCCCACCTTCCTTTTTTCTCTCCAACCCACCTCTGGCGCCATCCATCTAATGGTGCCTGTCTCAGCCATCATGTTGCCCGGCTCCTGTGCCTCTGTGCGCGCAAGGCAATAGCATCAGCGCTCCCTGAACCCCCTCTCTCTCCCCCTCCCTCCCCTCTCTCTCCCCTCCCTCCCCTCTCTCTCCCCCCTCCCTCCCCTCTCTCTCCCCTCCCTCTCCTCTCTCTCCCCCTCCCTCCCCTCTCTCCCTCCCCCTCCCCCCTCTCTCTCCCCCTCCCTCCCCTCTCTCTCCCCCTCCCTCCCCTCTCTCTCCCCTCCCTCCCCTCTCTCTCCCCTCCCTCCCCTCTCTCTCCCCCTCCCTCCCCTCTCTCCCTCCTCCTCCCTCCCCTCTCTCTCCCCCCTTCCCTCCCCTCTCTCTTCCCCTCACCTCTGGCGCCATCCATCGGAATGTGCCCGTCTCAGCCGTCATGTTGCCCGGCTCCTGTGCCTCTGTGCGCACCAGCCTAAACGTGAAGTGACCCACGACATGAAGGTGACACTCCAAACAATCCCTCCCAACCCACCCACCTCAGGCGCCATCCATCGGATTGTGCCTGTCTCAGCAGTCATGTTGCCTGGCTCCTGTGCCTCTGTGCGCGCAAGCCCAAAGTCTGCCACCTTCACACTCGCATCTGCCGCCAGTAGCAGATTCGCCGACTTGAGGTCGCGGTGAATCACGTTGTGGCTGTGCAGGTACTGCATGCCTCTGAGGGAGAGGAGTGGGGGGGGGGAGGGGGAGAGGGGACGGGAGGGGCAGCGCAGAGCGGGGGGATCCGGGTGGGATGGTGGAGAGAGGATGGAAGAAGAAACGGGCCACCTGGCGACTTTGAGACCTGCCAACACTCTTCTCATAGAATGAACAGGCAGGCAGGCAGGCACCGACATGGGGCATACCCCCCCGGCAAGGCAACGTCATAGAGGGCCATAGAGGCCAATTCAGGGGGCTTCAGGGATTGAAGCACCTTAATCGGTGCTCACTCAGGCATGCAGACAGACAGGCACGGGCGTGCACATGCATCG